AGGCAACATAAAATATTACTGAAATTTATTAAAACTTAACCATAAAAATGTCTAAAAATGTGTTATTTTAGCCTATTTTTATTGACAGAAAAATACATATTACCCTTGGGATGTTACAACCCCCTTTCTGAACTGTCATATTGTCAAAAAATTTTTTGGAAAAAAGCAAAAATTTTTTTTTTTTTATAAAAATGTGAGAATCTTTTCTGATGGTAAAAAACACCAAAATCAAAATTTTTTATCAAAAATTTAGGAATTACGCTCCTGCGAAGTTGGCGATCTCGGCGTATATGTAAAGTATCGGCCATTTCCCCGAGTTTAACCCCTATTTTAGCCATTCCATTGTTCCAGTCCAAGCTCATGCTATTTCTTTTGAATCCCTTTTTTTTTTAATTAAATGGTAAAGAAACCACCCATTTACCAATTTCAACTACCAATAAAGTGGCAGAAAAGGCAATTTGGCCCAATTTCACGCAAATTAAAAAAAAAGCCCAAAATTTAAAATAGGGTCCAGAATATACAAAGCAGACATTCTTGGCACTAAAATAACATATCCTTGTTAATTTGTCATTCTCTAGGGCCCCCCTTATATTACTTTGCTTTTTTTGATTTTTTATTCACAAAAGAAATGAAGTTTACTGTTTTGCAGACTCTGCAATTGTAAAAATGATATAAAAAATTTTTCAGTGACTAGTGAAAGAAAATCAGACTCCCCCGTTGATGTGATTGGGGCGTGTGGCGTGATTTGCCTTTTCTTGAACATTGGGAAAAAAACAAAAATTTTTCTACTTTGTGCTCAATTTTCAAGGGGTTTTCATTGTGAAAAATAATCAAAATTCTCTATTTCTATAAAATGTTTTCCATTCTATCAAATAAGACCAAGAAAACGAGAATAAACCATAAATACTTTTCAAAATTACCTCAAATTGGCGTTTTAATCCAAAAACATGGTCGGGATTTTTTTTTTGCCCTTAAAGGGTGCATGCTGCAGGATTTTTTTTATATTGTGCACAATGCCCCACAGACCCCCCTTTTCTCAATGGGGCCTCCCCTTTTCCTGCTTGATTTGAACCCCCTAGAATTATTGAGTAAACATTTTACGTCCAAAAAAACTGGCTTGTAAGATATAATACGGCCCCAAAAAGTCAAAGGGTTAAAGCCTACCTGAATTGTGTTGCAGATACAAACAAAACCTATCAAAAAATTTCTAAAATTTTGATTTTCCCAAAAATAAAAAAATTTTTAATGCCAAGAACAGACAAAAACAAAAACAAAAAAGACCTGTATAGTTTCTGTATTATCTGTGCTAAGTTATAATTAACTTTCTTCTTTTAATAAACTGGCCATACCACCGAGGAAGGGTGGCCAAAAGTAAAAAAAGAAAAATTTTTTCTTTTTAAATTTTTGTAAAAGTACAGGGGAAGGGGTACTAGCCCCTTTCTTCCCGCATTTTAGTTTCCTCTTATGACATGCATGATTATGGAGGGAAGAATTCTGTTACACTTCCCCCTGGAATAAACGAAAAAAAAACAAGAACAAGAACTTTAAAAAAAAGTAGAAGAAAACCCGAGGGGGGGTGTGGTGTTATATATGCTTGTATATGTATGTTAGTGTAATAAATGAAATGAAGTAGCAAAATGTACCCCGAAACCTTTCATGTTTAGAAAAAAAAAAAACCAGCAATCCTACCATCATGAAAAAAATTAAGGTTTTGCTTCACACTCACTTTGGGAGGTGGTAGTACATACCTCCCTGGGAGTTGCCATTACCCAAACCCCCTAGGAAATTAAAATTAAACTTTTATATCAAACTGAATAAAAATTTCAAGAATGGATGGTTTCTGAAAGAATGTATCAAATCAGTATTTTTTGTTGTACACTGCACTCCCCTTTCAAAAAATTCCCAAAAATTATGATATACAGACTGTGGTTTTTTCTTGTACGTATGTAATAAAAAAATTTTTGTTTGCAAAGCATTAACCCTGAAGTAGTTTTAAAACATTATAAAAATATCTTTGAGCCCCCATACTGGGTCATGTGATAATTACAAAAACAACACAATATATATAATACAAAAATAAATAAATTAAATAAAATTAAATTTTTTTAAAAAAAATAAAATATGTTGAGTAATTCACAACTAAGCCACAATTTGGAGAAAGAATGTTGTCAAAAATTTCTTCTCAAAATTGTGGATGACTTGTGCTTTTTCATTCTTCTGTGTTGAATAATACTCTGTGGCAGCTTTATAACCAGACTCTGCAAACTGTTTGACTCTTTAATGGGGCTTATAAATACAATCTATGCAGTACAGTACAGAATTCTGAAGTACAGTCATACTCTGCCCTACGGCATTAATTGGTTCCAAGAGCCGTGACATAACCCGGTATTTGATGTAAACAGGACATGCCTTAAAAAGACAACAAACACTGCAAAATTAGTGTAAATAACATGCGAAAGAATATAACTACAGCCTCTCCTCACTTAATGACTGAGTTCCGTTCCTAAGCGAGGAGCATACTATACTGGTAGTGAGTCTGTGTAACCATCTTTAAATATTTTTTTAATGTCACCTTTGCACCATTTATAACATTTCTAGTATATTTTTAAATATTTATACAGTAGTGTATTGTATACTGTAATAAACAGAATAGAGGAAATCAGCTCTAATATACGAACATTACTTAGATTTGCCTACTGGTTGGAGAGCTGGTCATAAGTCCGAGTGGTTGGTAAACGAGCATGTTGTTAAGTGAGGAGAGGCTATATTGCTAAACCTTAAAGAACACTTAAAACACATTTTAGTCATATTTTTTAAAGAATAATTAACACAATTAAAAATAATATGACCTATGTGACATTACTGAGTGACGTAAAGTCGGACGTAATGATGTTCGCTGAGACTTTCTTCAACTTCTTGACAGCAACTGATTTATTACACAAACTTTGATAATCCTTCCTTTAGCACTCCTCACAGCCCCTCCTAACTTTACCTTTATTGTCATCTCTACCCTTATTTATCCTTAGATCCTGCATCAATTCCTACACTGCAGTGCTGTATGATCCTGGTAGGTTTAGCACTTCCTTCTGATTATAATAATAATAATAATCACTGAACTGAGATTTACTCTAGAAAAGTGGTGTAAAGATGAATTTGACATAGGCCAAAATGACAAAGTGGGGTATGATTATATTGTGAAAATACATGAAAGCTAATGTAAACAAGACATGCTGCTAAAGCCGCTGCTCAGAATGGACTAAAGGCTGGTATGCAAGGATATATTATACAAATACAATACACCATGCCATATTTAAATACAGTATCAGCAAAATTAGTGGGCCTAAAGACTGTGAACCTCATAATTATACTTGAAAATAAAATGTATAGGTATATTTTAAAAAGGGAATTTACAAAGAGCAGAAATTCTTGATACTGACAACACCACATACATATATATAAAACAAAAATTCATCCTATATACTTTATGAACATAAGAAAAACAACTAAATAAATAACTGAAATTAAATAATTTACAAATATAAACTATGTATATGTAAAATTAAGTATTACATATACAAAACTATACAGTGCACTTATATAAAGTACAGTATATAAAATATACAGGAAAATATATATACATTAAAATATACAGTAGACTGCTTTATAAGTAAAATTTCCACGTAATACTCCAAAATATAAAGATCTTCGTATTATGTTATACACTGGATACAGAAACTATACAGAAAGCTTAAAAGCTTATGCTGACATTTTAAGCAGATTACTTACTATCAATGAAACTCAAATTTTACTACTGTGAAGAGGAACAATGTATTTTGTCTGTCTCACTGATATTATTACAAAATAGTGAACAGTAGAAAGAGCAATTATTTGTACGTACATCATTTTCTGTGTAAAAAAAAATGGTAATTTAGGATTTATGTATTTTGTAATTTAACTGTAATTAAGTGGCTAATTTGCCTAGCTACACATAAGCTGTGACTCACTCCTAGAGTATAATAGTAATTATTGTAACATATATACTGTACTCAAAAGTCAGCTGATATACATCTCCAAAATAATTTTGTATGTACTGGTACACAATTATATTACATGCATGGTGAGAGAACGCTTAACACTTAGGGGTCATACAGAAATGGGAAGCAATGAGGATTCATCCAAGGAAAGAGAAGAGGTCAAATTCCTTGGATCAAGAACCCCTCACCATCATCAGGGGACCTTTCTTGCAGGGACAGATATGTGATGTTCACTACCCGTAATACCAAGGCTCAATCCAGACACAGATTAAATCATTCTGTTTTTTTTTTTTTCAAAAATCAGTCAATCCGATACATGAAAACCACAATTATGGCAATATTGTGTGAATTACCTTTATAGTAATTTACGAAGCCTGTGTAAAAGTCTGAATGTCACACAGCACATAATATAGTTTATTAAAAGTTGAGAGTTTCACTGTAAGCAAAAGCTAACTTACAATTTTCAGTAAAAGAGCTTACTATAATGATGAAATTTTTTTATAAGTTAATATGCAATCGCACAAAAAGGTGCATATCACGATACTGAAAATACAATGTCAAAAGTGAAAAAGACACTGTTGAAGCCTTAATTCAATATATAAGTTAGCTGGACATGAATGCAGAAACTTGAAGAGCTTCAGTGCCCAAGAACAGAAAAAGAAGATGCAGAACAACAACTTTCAGAGATGTCGTGAATCTCAATTCCCAGGTCTGTTTATGTATGCCAATAACTTTTTTTTTTTAACACACTGGTCGTCTCCCACTGAGGAAGGGTGACCTAAAAAAAAAATTATCTTTACATGTAGTAATTTATAGAGGAGAAGGGTTACCAGCCCCTTGCTCCTGGAATTTCAGTTGCCTTTTATGACAGACATGGCTTACAGAGGATTCACTAATAACTTAAATTAAATAATAAATTATAATAAATCAAATATATGCCAAACTAGGAACTTTACTTAAATATAATTCATATATTAACATTTATTAGGTGTATTTGTAAGGTTTGGGTGATTTATAAGTAAACTAAATATATAAAAATATTAATAAATAATACAGAGTATCCTGTATCAACTGCTTATTATACTATTCAATTCACTAATAATTATAAATCGCTTCTATGAGTCATAATTATATCACAATAATTTTACTATCACAGAATTGTTCCAAAACAGATGTCTTCACAATACTCTACCAAATCTTTAAGAAAGTTAAAAAAATTTATCTGACAAGTACCAATAAACATACATATATGCTACACACAAAACTAGTTAATTATATCTACATTATTGAGACCCCTAGTTTGTTTTTATTACACTATTAGGGAGGAATGGAGGAGTAAATTTGTGTGGGTCATACAGCACCTGGGAAAATGGGAGGTAATCAGGTTTGATCTGAGGAAGAAAATAGTGGCAATTCTTTGGATCAAGAGCTTTTCACCAGCATCAAAGTATCCCTTGAACTGACTCTTGGTACAGTAAAAACTAAAACTCACAGCATACTATAACTATTCCTTCTACAATTTAAAGGCCCATATCTCATGCCCTCTCTCCTTAATGCAGTGGATACCTTTACTAATGGCAATATTTTATTCTTGTAGGGCCTTTAAATCAGTAACAAAACCTCAAGGTGGGAAAAACATTATTATTAATAAAAGTATCCACTGCTCTGAAGTCTCATGTACCTCACCTTGTTGATGTACTCAATTTTACCTTTACAAATTTCAACTACTAATATTTTTGAAACTGTTAAGGACTACAACATATGACACAATGCTAAAGCACATACCTACTAATTTTGAAGTGATTTTTCTAAGATCACGTGAGAGATCAATCTCAAACACTTCCACACTTCTATAAAAATATAAACTATTATTAGATCTTAAAACTCTAACTAGAGGACTACATGGCTAAAATTCATACAGTACTGTATATAACATTACTCTAAGGCACATACACACCAATTCTGAAATAATTTCATAAGAGTATTGTAAAAATAACCCAAATCACATTTCTCAATAAATAAATAAATAAATATATTATACTATATACACGAGTGAATATGGTATCACGAGGGCCACATGATAAGTAGAAAAAACAACTGAGCCCCTGTAGAAAAATAAAATCTTGGTGCGGATTGTGCAAATACAACTTTAAAGCCTTAAAAAATGTGATAGTAAAAATGCACTAGGAGGTTTGAGGCGATGTTTATGTCACAAATTGCTTGTGCCACCATATGGTTACAAGGGTGAAGAGCAAAACATTGTATAACAGTTTTAATGTAATTGCATATGCAGTATTTGAATTTTTTCTAAACACATTACAGATATTAACCATAAGCAAATCCTTCCACCCCTATACACCATATAAAAATATGCCAAACTGTATATGTAAAGTAATTGCAAAATCACATTATGCTGTATAATTCTAAGGCAGGAGACCTCAACCTGTTTTAAACTGTAAAGCCAATGTGAAAACACAAAAGCAAGTTCAGTAAATTATAAACGAACTAGAAAATGACAATATTTTTTCTATGATCACAATGCATACACAACATTTAAAAGAAACAAAATAAAAACATAATACTTATTGATAATTTACTACATGACTTCGATATTTTAAAACGAATATCTTTCCCTGATGATCATAATATAGGATAAGGAACAGTTTGCAAACAGTTGTTGAGATGGGAATCTGTAAGTCTTGACATGTAACTTGAGCAGAGACTCACAAAACTAGATTGATTTATTGTATTAATAATCTTTAGAAATGTTTAACACTGGAAATACAAATCACTACTAGTGCTGTTTTCTCTCTTGTTCAGCAGAATGCACCTCTTCATAGGTAGCATTGAGCCAGACAACAGCCAGGCGTAGAGGTGGGGTAGAAAAGATTGGATACCCAAGAGGAGGATCTGCAGCTTGAATAGTTAAATTACGTAACAGACCTGGCTGAGCCTGTAAAAAAAAAAAATTAATTTGAAATAAAAACAATTGTCATCAACATCCTAAAGTGAAATGTCTCATGCATGATCCTCTTGTTGTAATTATTTCTCAAAAAGGTGGAGCAACTTTCACAAATCTAATTTTGGGCTCTGCATTTTCAATCACAAATTATAAAAACTGATTAACAATTACAGACTTTGGGTAAGTTAAACAACTGGTTATAATGCCTCTTATTGTTGTGATAAAGGTCTAACTTCAGGATGCAGCTACTATAAGCCTTACTGTCAAAGCAACCACCTTTAAGTTACTGGAGGAAGAGGTACTTTGATGCTGGAAAAGGGATCTTGAGCCAAGGAATTGGAATTACTGTCCCCTTCCTTAGATCAGCCATGGTTACTTCCCCTCTCTTTCCCAGGTGCTGTATTTATCATCATTAAAGGTACAGTGCTTCCCTATGAATATAATAATAATAATAATAATAATAACAGATGGGAAACTGATTAGCCAAACTGGAATCCTGGAGGTGGTAAATACAGCATTTGCACTCTGGAGGAGTGGGAGGTTCTGCAGTTCAAAGAATCATTTGAACTGTGATGTCTATCACTTCTGGCAAGAGAGCTAGTGAATGAATGATGGTGAATGTGTTTCTTTTTTCTTACTATCCTACTTTATTAGGAAATGGCCAGTGTGATGAATTATTTTTTATCTCAACGGCCATATACCGCCAAGGCAAGTTGACCCAAAGAAGAAAACACATTCACCATCATTCATTCAATCACTGTCTTTCCAGAAGTGTGCTGACATCAAAGTTCACATTACCCTCTGACTTCCCACATATTCAATGAGGCTTCCTTGCATACAGTATTGTATATTTAACATGTGGTGCTTATAAATATGGCACAGTACCAATGAACATGAACACCTGCCACGTGTACCTGTATGGAGTATCGTTCATCATCGTCGTTGGTGAGGTATAGCAGCTCAGCAACCAGAGATGCCCACAGACCTCTTACAGTCTCACACCCCAGTCGTCCAACAGCTATATCTGCTTCCCCAAGGGTCAAAAGATGTGATGTGTATACACCCTAAAAAAAAAAAATCTTAAGTGTCTCAAAACATAGAACTGTTGCAATAAGAATTTGTTATTCAAACTCTAAGACACACCTCCCTACACAACTGGGGCCTTTCTAATACAAATTTCAGTCTATGAATGGCTCCATATTTTAATAGTAACACTTTTTCACACACAATCCCATCAGCTTAGGAGCACTATCATAATAAAGAAGATTCATTATTAACCCCAGAGTGTCAGTAACCCAGCAGTATAGTCTATTTCCACAGGCGTCCTTAACACCCTTCCCTAGGATGTGACACAATTGCAAGCAAACACCCAGTCAAACACTCAAAGTGCTTATTCACTGCTAGAACAGGAAAATTTGCCTGTATATCTCATCCTTGCCCAGAATTAAGCCTAGGTCAATCAGATGAGTCAAACCATTACAATTTCACTATTACACAGCAGCATTACCTGAAGGTGCTCCATAGCTTCTTGCCCTCTTACATTTACTTTTTAGTGTTTGTAATTTTCTAAATCTAAATTTATGTTATTTCCTTATTACTGCATATTTATCTGATACACAGGCTTAGCAGTATAACTAAAAATATTTATAAAGCATCTTTGTGCAAGTGAACCACATTATGTAAAAAGGCAATATAGGACAAGAACAAGCACACAAAGTGCACACATTTTGTAAATATATTCTTGCTCACTAAGTAGATATCCTAGTCTTTTATCTGTTCTGAATTGTTTGTAAAGAGTAATCTGCATTTGTCTAGTGCTTAGCAGACAGAGAATTGATTCTTCACCACTCCTTGCGTTTGATGGCCCAGATGGGTCCAGTACTTCGTATAAAGCTGATGAGAACAAGAAAGATTAGATATCAGATTAAAGGGAGGGAGTATGGAAGAAGTGAGAGTACATATCTGGATATTTGGAACTGGAAGTGTAAATAGATGGGTCTACGAAAGATGAGGAGAACAACAAAATAGATGAGAAGGAAAATGGTAAATGGAGTGTTGAGGAATCTGTGGCAAGAAAGATGATTCTTTTTGGAGGCAAAAAGAAAATACCAGAGTATAGTGGTACCAACACTGTCTATATGGATGTGAGGCATCATCTTTAAACATTGCAGTAAGAAGGTGGCTGGAGGCAGTGGAGATATATGTGAGAGCAGTGTGTAGTGTAAATATTATGAAGATAATTCAGTGCATAGACATTAGAAGGCCATGTGGGGATATGAAAGGTATAACTCAAAGAGCAGAGAAGGATATAAATAAGTAGGCGAGTCATTTAAAAAGGATGAAGAATAGAATGACCAAAAGGGTGTATAAATAGAGGGTGAAATGAAAGAGAGGTATGGGGTTGGAGGAAGAAAAAAAGATACAATGGCAGAGAGGACCATAATTGAGACATCTTGCCTGTGGAACAGGCCTCTTCAGTTAGTGACTCAAGAAAGATCCTTCATGCAATTGTGTCTAATTTCTCTACTTGTCACCTTTGTTCCATTTGTATCCAGGGGTAGGTGTTGTCCAAGAGAGGGTGTGAGGGGTTTCAAGTGGCAAGGGGTTGAGAATCCCACAGGCATGTACGAGTGTATTAAATCGGAGTGGAGACAAGTAGCTCTTAGGATTTGACATGCTGTTACTGTGCAAGCAAGGTGCTATTTATGAAGGGATCCAGTGACACTGGTTAGCTGGATTTGAGTCCTAGAGGTGGGAAATACAATGCCTGCACTTTGAAGGATAGGAGGGGATGTTGCTGTTCAGAGGGGTATTTAAATTGTAATATCTGAGTATTTCTGGTTCAATGAATCAGAAAGTTGGTGACTGTGTTTCCTCTTTTTTGGGGGAATCACCCTACCTCAGTGGTAAATATAAATATAATAATTTAAATAGTAATATCCTTTTTTTGTACAGTCAGTGCTGAAGAATATTAATTAACAGAATGGAAATATATGGAAGACACTTCGTTAACCCTTTCAGGGTTGAGAGGCCTCTCCTAAACATGTTCTCAGGGTCCAAAATTTTTCCAAAAAAATAAAAATTATTTTTTCTTATGAAATGATAGAGGATCTTTTCCTGATCATAATGACACCAAAAGTATGAAATTTGATGGAAAATTTATGGAATTATGCTCTTGCGAAGTTAGTGGTCTCAACGATGTTTATGCATCGGCAATTTCACTCATTTTGAGCCCTATTTTCGGCTAATTCCAATGTACCAGTCGACAAAAATCATAGCTATTTCGTTAGAACTCCATTTGTTCTATCAAATGAGTACAAGAAACCAGCTAATTACCGATTTCAACTATCCAGTAAAGTGGTCAGAAATTGGCAATTTTGACAATTTCACACAAATTTCAAAAAATTGCCAATTTCAAAATAGGGTCCAGAATAAACAAGAAAGACATTCCTGGCACTAAAATAACATTTTCTCTGTTCATTAGTCACATCTCCAGGCCCCTCTTACATTTCTTTTGCTTTCCACTTTGAACTTTTATTCTCACAAAAATAGAAGATTTACTGTTATGCAGGCTACTGGATTAGTGTAAAAGTGGTATAAATAATATCAGTGCACTTGTGAAAGAATATTAGACTCATCAGTTGACGTGAATTGGATGCATTGCATTATTTGTTTACTTTTGAACACTGGCAAAAATCGAATATTTCTGCTACTTTGAGCTCAATTTCAAGGTACTTTTCATTGTGAAACCAATCAAAATCATCTCAGTTTCTGTAATATGTCTTCCATTCTATAAAATGAGACCATGAAAACGGGAATAAAACCATAAATACCATATGAAAATACACTGCAAAGTCACTGTTTTAAACGAAAAACACAGTATGAGTTTTTTTTTCTCATTATACACTGTGTGCTGCAGGATTTTTTTTATACTGTGCACACTGACCATGCAGACCCATTCTTTCATATGTAGGCCTATCAGCTTTCTCTCGCTACATTTGAAGGTGCTAGAATTTACGCGAACTAGTACGGCACCAACCCTGGCATGCAGCTGTACTAGTACGACACCAACCCTGAAAGCGTTAAAGAAGGTAAACTGCAGTTATTGGAAATTATTTTGAGAAACAAGTGTTTAATCTTTCTTCTTTCAACACAGCAGCTGTCTCTCACCAAGGTAGGGTGACCCAAAAAAGAAGAAACACTTTCACCATCACTCGCTCTATTGCTGTCTTGCTAGAGAGGTGCTAATACTGTATACAGGGTCTCTGAATTGAAGGAGTCTGTGGAGACAAAGAGCTTTGTCCTTGGAGGCAAAGAGGGGAATGTATGAGAGTATAGTTTTACCAACGCTCTTATATGGGTGTGAAGCATGGGTGATGAATGTTGCAGCGAGGAGAAGGCTGGAGGCAGTGGAGATGTCATGTCTGAGGGCAATGTGTGGTGTGAATATAATGCAGAGAATTCGTAGTTTGGAAGTTAGGAGGAGGTGCGGGATTACCAAAACTGTTGTCCAGAGGGCTGAGGAAGGGTTGTTGAGGTGGTTCGGACATGTAGAGAGAATGGAGCGAAACAGAATGACTTCAAGAGTGTATCAGTCTGTAGTGGAAGGAAGGCGGGGTAGGGGTCGGACTAGGAAAGGTTGGAGAGAGGAGGTGAAGGAGGTTTTGTGTGCGAGGGGCTTGGACTTCCAGCAGGCATGCGTGAGCGTGTTTGATAGGAGTGAATGGAGACAAATGGTTTTTAATACTTGACGTGCTGTTGGAGTGTGAGCAAAGTAACATTTATGAAGGGGTTCAGGGAAACCGGCAGGCCGGACTTGAGTCCTGGAGATGGGAAGTACAGTGCCTGCACTCTGAAGGAGGGGTGTTAATGTTGCAGTTTAAAAACTGTAGTGTAAAGCACCCTTCTGGCAAGACAGTGATGGAGTGAATGATGGTGAAAGTTTTTCTTTTTCGGGCCACCCTGCCTTGGTGGGAATCGGCCAGTGTGATAATAAAATAAAATAAAATAAAAACAGAATACATAAAAAAAATTATGCTAGACTTAAAATTATAATATAAAATAATAACACTGTCTTTCAGAAGATTCAGTTTCTTAATCTTGTATTAATGACCAAAAACATTATACATACCTTAACAGAATTGTAGCCTAAAGAAAAAAGATTTGACGTCTCCATCCTAACTGCATCTACCCATGAGTGTGGCCATTTGTTTTCCACATTATGCAAAATGTGTCTATGAGCAGCATCTGGAGACAGGCCTGAGTGAGAGTGAGTATTATCACTCACTCTGGCATCGGGTCCAAGGTACCAATTTTGGGTATAATCTTCCATAGTTGAATGAAGCTCTGCCCATCCAGTCATTCCTCCAATTAATGTATGGTCAAGTGCAAGTTTAACACCAATTCTGCAACAATATGTAGTGTTAAGAAATCTTCATTAGGCTGAAAAATGTATCAATTTAAACAAGATTCATTAGCACAGAGAATACTATTAAAAATAACATGTGAAAATTAATCAACTTTTAGTGGTCAATAATGGTTGAAACCTTACAATGTTTACAAACAAATACAACTAAGCCTACTTGTATACACTTGTACGTTGAAGTTTCAACACCAACTTTTTAATCCCAAAAAATAGGGGATCGACCTATTCATAAATAATACTTTTAAGAGGCTGAAACTGTTACATAAAGGGCCTAGTATGTGGGGTGCATGAAGGACAAAATCACACTCAGTAACCACATTCTATCTTAAATGTACAAATACAACCGATGATACCCAGTACAGTAGAAACCCCTGTATAAGTGGACTCAGTATCTGCAGTTTCAGTTATCCATGGTTTACCCTTAATTTTGCTTAATAATGGCTCCAAAGTGCAAAAGTAGTGATGCTGGCAGTTCTTCAATGCCCATCAGTGAAAAGTGCTAATTCTAGACTTTTTTTTTTCAGCAAACTGGCCGTATCCCACCGAGGCAGGGTGGCCCAGAAAGAAAAATAAAAGTTTCTTTTTCAATTTAGTAATTTATACAGGAAAAGGAGTTACTAGCCCCTTGCTCCTGACATTTTAGTCACCTCTAACAACACGCATGGCTTACGGAGGAAGAATTCTGTTCCACTTCCCCATAGAGATAACAGGACATAAAGAAGAACAAGAACTAGTAAGAAAATAAAAGAAAACCCAGAGGGGTGTGCACATATATATATGTGCGTACATATATGTGTAGTGTGACCTAAGTGTAAGAAGAAGTAGCAAGACGTACCTGAAATCTTGCATGTTTATGAAACAGAAAAAAGACACCAGCAATCCTATCATCATGTAAAACAATTACAGGTTTCCATTTTACACTCACTTGGCAGGACGGTAGTACCTCCCTGGGTGGTTGCTGTCTACCAATCTACTACCTAGGAATTCTAGACTTATTCTGCATAATTTTTAAATTAAACTTTATCTTAGAGATGTATGTAAAAGGAAAATAACTTATATTTAGGGTTCACTACTATCCACGGTTTCAGGTATCCACGATAGGTCTCAGAACATATCCCCTCCAGATATGAGGGGGACTACTGTATATTTATTTATGCCACCCTCTTGCATTTGTTTGTTTACAAGAACAAGAGATACCTACGTAGTAGGTTGGTAGACAGCAACCACCCAGGGAGGTACTACCATCCTGCCAAGTGAGTGTAAAACGAAAGCCTGTAATTGTTTTACATGATGGTAGGATTGCTGGTGTCTTTTGTCTGGCTCATAAACATGCAAGATTTCAGGTATGTCTTGCTACTTCTACTTACACTTAGGTCACACTACACATACATATACAAGCATATATATTCACACCCCTCTGGGTTTTCTTCTATTTTCTTTCTAGTTGTTCTTCTTGTTTATTTCCTCTTATCTCCATGGGGAAGTGGAACAGAATTCTTCCTCCGTAAGCCATGCGTGTTGTAAGAGGCGACTAAAATGCCGGGAGCAAGGGGCTAGTAACTCCTCCTCCCGTATAAATTACTAAATTTAAAAAGAGAAACTTTTGTTTTTCTTTTTGGGCTACCCCGCCTCGGTGGGATACAGCCGGTGTGTTGAAAGAAGAAAGAAGAATAAGAGATAATGGCTGAAATGGTTTCCATCTCAAGACTAAATACGTACGTATTTTATTTAGCATTTCAAACAGTTTATTATTATGCAATGCAAATAATTATTGCACGGGATAATGTAATAATAATAAAGGCAGAATTGCTTACAATATGTTAGATAAAAAGACACTGGTGCAACTAATGTGACATTTTACATAGGCAACATTTTGCTCTCCAGGAGCTTTGACAAGCCATTAACAGTTTGACAAAGCTCCTGGAGAGCAAAACTTTGCCACAATAGAAAGTCACATTAGTTGTGCTTGTGTCCTTTTACCGAACAGGACAATGTAAATCAATATTATTGCTTACATGTTTATTGTGGGAATGGAGTATTGAAGGTAAATGCATGAGGAGAGAGGGTAAGGAGAGGAAAAAAAGGGTGTCACTCAACCTTACCCCTGTCCATTCAACCATGCCCTACTACCTACCAACCACTAATACCTGCTCAAAGTGCATAACTGAACTTGCTGCAGTGCACCACAATTCTTATGCTATAGTTGGGTGAGAGTTGGACCTGCCTAGCATGGGCCAGCAGGCTTATTGCAGTGTCCCTCTACTCTTAAATTCTTATGTAAATGGATGGGTATGACCAGGACCTGCTTATCAAAAGTAGGTTTAGTGCAGTACTCCTCTATTCTTATGTTTATCAAATGTTTGGGTTGACTATTGTTTTGTATTTGTCAATATTATTTTTATGGTTTTGTAATTTTTTCTAAGTTTCAGCTAAAATATTTTTGCATCTGACCCACCTGACATCTTGTAGAGTTCCTCAAAAACTAGGGCAGACTTATACTGAAGATATATGAAAAATTAAGTTTTAAAAAAAAAAAAAGCTAAGAAGGTCAACCTACATATGCTGTCATATATTATTAGAGTACATACTGTAAATGTTATTACCAGAAACTGGAACATTTCCTCACCTGAATGCTGTAAGAACTAATTCATATAAAATCTGCTTGCTTACAAGCCACTCAAGAGCCATAGACCAGGACAACTCTCCAATAAAGGTCTTGTATACTTGAGCTGTTGTTGGAGTAACACTATCAGCTCCCAGGACAATCAAGTGACAAGTACCAATAAGCAGCCTGTGGAATACAAGATATGATAATACAGTAGTAATGATAAACCTAAGGTTTATGTCAGCTTCATTGTTTTATTATTATTTTCCAAGAAGAGACGATGGGGGGCAGGGGGTTGCCATAATGCTTGGGAAGAATGCTTGATTCAAGAATTGGAACTATTAAATCTGATTACCTCCTTTTCTTCAAGCACAGTATGATTTATAGGTTTGGTGCTTCCCCATGAGTATAATAACAACATTTAAAGAAATAATACTATATTACTCACCTATAAGACTCCTCCAAAGTTTCATCGTATTGCATTCTCTGGATAACAACTTCTTTATCTCCTCCAGGTTTACCGCTAGAAGGGTCAGAATTGTTTGAAGTGCTAGAAGCTTTGCCACTAGGGGTCGAATTTTTTTCATCTAAAGTCTCCACATACAAGTGGCCAAGAGTGTTGAGAAGAAATTTGAACCATGCATGTGGAAATGTATCCTGAACCTCATCTATTACTTCCTCATCAAATGGGAGCTCAACTATCCAGTTAGGTAAAGGAGCCAAGGCAGCACTAATGGGACTCTCATAAATTGGTGAACGAATTTCGGGTTGAGCTATCATTCTCAGATTGACTCTGGCTGAGGCTTTATTTGTGGCCTTATTTTTGGCATTAGTGTTTTCTTCATCAGAGGAATCATACATGAGACCTGGAATGAAATTAACTTTCTTGTCAGTCTCTGTTAAATCTTCCAGAGAGGACAGGGAGTCCACAACTCTTGAACGTAATGGAGGAGGCTCTTCATTCTTGTTCTTGATGTTCATGGCCTCTTCATCATTTTCATTGAGTGAATCATCCTCATCATCCCAATTGGAGGTAAGTGGAGGTGTATCTCCAGTGCGCACAATTGGAATTGGGTCACTTAGTATGTGGTCCTCAACCCAGGCTACCCTGCTTCCCCTTCCACTCTGGCTTTGAGACTGTTGAGAAGCAGAAATACGACGACCAAATGAGGCTCGCTGTTCCCTTCCATGGTTGTCAACTTGAGTCCTGTTTAGAGGAAACCCTTCTTCAAAATCATATTCAGTTCTTTTGGCTACTTTCGGCAAGCTTTTCAGGTGTTCTTGACTTACATTTTTTGATGCACTCTTTAGAGATTTCCTCGGTTCTGCATCAATATTTATATCTGAAGTTTTAACAGATCTGTTTAAAATATAATTCATTACTACATACAGAAAAGCTTTATGAAAATAATCTTTAACAAGCCCACGTGTCTCTGGAGAATCTATAACCCCAGTTAAGACATTTCTTGTGTCTGAGTATCCCATAACAGTGAAGTGTGTGAGAGGAGTAAGGGTGTGAAATGCATGTGGGTTGAACACTGATGACAGGATCCCCTTCTTGGCTACTTCTTCATCATCAAATGCTCTGCTAAAGTTGGCATCAACTCTTGATGCTTCAGTTGTATGGCAACTTGTTTCCTGCAGCTCAAGCCCTTTCACACTATAGTACTGGTAGGTGAAGCCACATTCTAAAATCTGAAATGGTAAGGTCAGTTAAACAATAAAAAAAAGATGCAACATTATTTTTAATTTATTAGATATAAATTATAAAGGCTAGATATAATTTGATTGCAATGATATGATTCATGGGGGCATTCCAGTTCTCCTATATCCCATGATAAAAACATTAAAAAATCTTCAAAAAGCCCCTTTACCTTTCTCTTTCTTCCTTTCCTTAGCTTTATATTTCTGCATCTATTTTTCCAATGAAAGCCCTCATACATGAGCCCAACATACATAAAAAGCAGACAGGCAGACACTACTACTTAGTCAATACTAAATAAGTAGATAATATAAGCATAACTTACCTGAACCCACATGAATCTGTCCTCCCAGCGCAGAAGAAAATGCTCTCCAGGCTCTGTCATCCCTAAGAGTAAAAGTATTCCCTTATATATACAAGTAAACCATAATTAAAACTTTATAAAATAATTCGAACATATAAGCAGCAAAAATACTATACACAGCGTGTGGTAATATCATGAGAATTATGAAAAAATAATTCAGTAACTGTATTTATTTCTTAAGATACTTTCTTGCTATAATATATGTAATGTCTTACCACAACTTATGCTTAAATTTAACTTTTTATTTGTTTTAATGATCAAATAAAATAAGTACAGTGGTCCCTCGTTGTTCGTAATTAATCCGTTCCTGGAGCCGTTACTATAAACGAAATTTACGATTTACGAATCAATTTTCCCCATAAGAAATAATGTAAATACAATTAATCCGTTCCTGACACCCAGAAGTATTAAAACAAAAAATTTTTAACATGAAATATGCATGTAGTACATAAACAATACAATGGGAAATGATGAATGAAACATTAACAGCATAACACTTACCTTTATTGGAGATTCTTCTTAGTGTATGGAAGACTGGAGGAGGAGAGAGAGTGGATTGTTTACAGTTTGGAAGGGGAATCCCCTTCCATCAACACCTCAGGTACCATTTGCTTTTCTGGGGTTGCTTCTCTTCTCTGTTTCTTAATGCCACTAGGACCACCTTGAGAGTCACTGGAGTCCTGTCTCACAAAATAACTGTGGAGAGAGTTCTGTTTCTGGCACCTCTTTAACACTTCCCTAAAATGGCCCAAGACTTTGTCACTGTACATGTTGCCAACCTGGCTTGCAACAACCTTGTTAGGGTGATGTTTCTCCATAAAGCTTTCCATCTTGCCCCACATAGTAAAAATGTCTTTAATTTCTGAAGAAGGCACCTTCTTCCATCTCTCTTCCTCCTCCTCTGCAGCAAGATTCTGAGCTGCGATGTATTGCTCTTCCTGCTGAAGCTCTTGCAGCTCCTCAGTGGTGAGCTCTTCATTGTGGTCTTCCACCAATTCTTCCACATCCTCCAAACTCACATCCAACCCCATGGAACTCCCCAGTGCCACAATTGATTTTACAACAGACATAGGCTCATTAGGGTCAGTCCCAAATTCTTCAAAATCCCTCTTGTCGACACAATCTGGCCACAATTTTCTCCAGGCAGAGTTCAAAGTCCTGGTAGTCACTCCCTCCCAAGCCATACCTATAAGGGTTATGCAGTGGAGGATGCTGAAGTGTTCTCTCCCAAATTCCCTTAGGGTCAAGTGAGTGTCTGTGGTCACTGTCAAGCACCTGTGAAACATTGCTTTTGTGTAGAGTTTTTTTAAAGTTTGCAATAACCTGCTGGTCCATGGGTTGGAGGAGAGGAGTGGTATTCGGGGGCAAGAACTTTACTGTGATGAACCCAAACTCCTCGAAAATTAGGTCATCCAAGTTTGGAGGATGAGCAGGTGCACTGTCCATTACTAGCAGGCACTTGAGATCCAATTTCTTTTCCAGGAGATACTCCTTCACACTAGGGCCAAACACTTCATTGAACCACTCGACGAAAATTTCCCTCGTGACCCATGCCTTACTATTAGATTTCCAAAACACACACAATTTACTCTTCATAACATTGTTTTTTTCCTGAACACTCTTCGATTTTCAGAATGGTACACTAGTAATGGCTTCACTTTGAAATCCCCACTAGCATTAGCACAGAACATTAGCGTCAGCCTGTCTTTCATAGGCTTGTGTCCTGGCATTGCCTTTTCCCTCTTGTGTAATGAAGGTCCTCTTTGGCATTTCTTCCAAAAGAGGCCTGTTTCGTCACAATTGAACACTTGTTCAGGTTTCAGTCCTTCAGCCTCTATGTACTCCTGGAATTCATGCACATATTTTTCAGCCGCCTTGTGGTCCGAACTGGCAGCCTCACCATGCCTTACCACACTGTGTATGCCAGTACGGTTCTTAAATCTCTCAAACCAGCCTTTGCTGGCCTTAAATTCACTCACTTCACCACTATTTGCAGGCAATTTCTTTACCAAATTTTCATGCAACTGCCTAGCCTTTTCACAAATAAACAAAGTCACAAGTGTATCTCCTGCTAATTGTTTCTCATTTATCCACACCAATAATAACTTCTCAACCTCTTCCAGTACTGGTGATCTCATTTTTGTCAGCATAGTTACCCCCTTTGCAACAACAGCATCCTTTATTTCATTTTTCTTGGCCACTATGGAACATAAGGTTGTGTAGGGTTTCTTGTACATCCTGGACAGTTCGGCCACACTTGTACCACTTTCATATTGTTAGGTAAGACACATATGCAACAGTTAGGTATCTTTATTTCGAAATGTTTCGCCTACACAGTAGGCTTCTTCAGTCGAGTACAGAAAAGTTGATAGAAGCAGAAGATACTTGAAGACGATGTAATCAGTCCATCACATATGAAGTGACAGGATGGAGCCTTTTATAGCGCCAGGAGGTGAGACGTAGGTCACTAGGAGAGGTAAGATTTCAGGGTGATGGACTGATTACATCGTCTTCAAGTATCTTCTGCTTCTATCAACTTTTCTGTACTCGACTGTAGAAGCCTACTGTGTAGGCGAAACGTTTCGAAATAAAGATACCTAACTGTTGCATATGTGTCTTACCTAACAACCTGTCGGTATTTTATACCATTTTATTATTCAATCTGTCTGACACTGCAACACAAGGGTATCTTGGTACAGACCTACAATCAGCTTCGACAACCTCTACTAGTGAGAACGGCTGGATTTGAGAGGGACCTGTCCTCCCAACTTCTGAAATCTTACCTCTCCTAGTGACCTACGTCTCACCTCCTGGCGCTATAAAAGGCTCCATCCTGTCACTTCATCTCCATATTGTTTCATTCCATGGAACAATGCTCTTCTCCAGACTGAGGGACTGACCACCTCAAAACTTTAAGGGTGATGGACTGATTACATCGTCTTCAAGTATCTTCTGCTTCTATCAACTTTTCTGTACTCGACTGAAGAAGCCTACTGTGTAGGCGAAACGTTTCGAAATAAAGATACCTAACTGTTGCATATGTGTCTTACCTAACAACCTGTCGGTATTTTATACCATTTTATTATTCACTTTCATATTGTTCAATGATGGTTTTCTTAAATTCAATCGTATTTCTCACCTTTTTTTACCACAGGCTTGGCACTAGGAGCTTTCTTTGGAGCCATGGTAGCTTATTTAGTACTTGCAAGCACTAAAATAAATGGAATATTATGAAATATTTCGCTGGAGCACGTGAGGGGACCTTCGCTCACTGGTAAACAATGCCAGACTGGCTGCCGCCCTGGCTCACACCGTGGGTACGCGTCCCGGATGAACTACGACTTGCGAGTCAACCTATGAAAAGCGAGTCCATGTTTATACGAAAATATCTCTATGATTGGCGAATTTTACGATTGCCGGGAACTACGAAAAGCGGGGGACCACTGTACTCACATAGCATGAACAAATAAGAAAATTGCATGTTATTTTTTCTTTTGTGTGGAGAAAATGAAACAAAAAGAAGTGAAACAGTTAAGAAAAGAAAGATAACAAGATTAGAGTAAAAGAGTTACAAAGAAATAAGAGGGGTAGACCAAATAAAAAGAAGAAAATAAAAAATACAAATGTAATACATATTATCAGTTCTTTGCTTACAAAAGTGGATCAGATCAAAGCATAGGTCAAAACTGAGATCCAAATGGAAGCCCTGAAACATGAAAGAGGAAGCTTCTGGACTTGAATTTACACTTATACTTTTATACAAATTGAGAGGTAGATTAATCCCTTCACTGTTGGAAGCTCCAGAATTAATAGTGCTTACAGTGTTGGCATTTAAAAAAAAAATCGTCTTCTGAAATGGTAGAGAATCTTTTTCTGAAGGTAAAGACACCAAAAATATGAAATTTGATGGACATCTTATGGAATTGCGTTAAGTGTGAAGTTAGCGGTCTGGGTACAATTTATGTATCAGTGACTTTGCCCACTTTGAATCCTATTTTAAGACAATCTGATCAAATTCTTAGCTATTTCGCTAGTATTCCTTATGTTCGATTAACTAAGTACAAAGGTAGTAGGTTGGTAGACAGCAACTGCCCAGGGAGGTACTACCGTCTTGCCAAGTGAGTGTAAAACAAAAGCCTGTAATTGTTTTATGTGATGGTAGGATTGCTGGTGTCTTTTGTCTGCCTCATAAATATGCTACGTCTTGCTACTTCTACTAACACTTAGGTCACACTACACATATGTGTACAAGCATATATACACACACCCCTCTGGGTTTTCTTCTATTTTCTTTCTAATTCTTGTTCTTGTTTATTTCCTCTTATCTCCATGGGGAAGTGGAACAGAATTCTTCCTCTGTAAGCCATGCGTGTCATAAGAGGCGAGGCGACTAAAATGCCGGGAGCAAGGGGCTAGTAACCCCTTCTCCTGTATATATTACTAAATTTAAAAGAAGAAATTTTAATTTTTTCTTTTGGGCCACCCCACCTCAGTGGGATACGGCTGGTATGTTGAAAGAAGAACAAAGTACAAGAAATTGCCAATTCAACTATCAGAACTAACCTATAAAGTGCACAGACTTTGGTAATTTGGCCAATTTTACACAGAATTTTAAAAAAATTTACACAATTTAAAAACAAATTTATGCAAAATTTAAAAAAAATCCAATTTAAAAATAGAATCCAAAATAAACAGTTTATTTTCACCAAATTTTAAACCAAACACAAGGTCAGAGGTTTGCTTTTCCTATTATGCACTGCATGGGGCTTGATATTTTTTATACTGTGTATACTTGCCATACAGACTCATTCTTTCATCTCTAGGCCAAAATTTATCACTCACAGCTTATCTGAGGTAGAGCTCAAAATGTTGATTTATGTGAGCAACCCTAGCATCAATAATGTAGATCCATGTATGAGACAATGAAAGGGTTTAAGAGATATGATGACAACATGCAAAATACTCCTTGGGTACAGATGGGGGTAGGAATAAGATGGACCATTTACCACAGGATGAGGGCTTCTGAGAGAAGGTAGGTGAAGTTGAATACCTAAGAGACCCATTGTCATTAGAAAGCGTGTTTATAGTTTCAGAGTAGTAAAGGAGAGTAATGAGATTGAGAATGATAAAGCAGAGACTGATATACACAGGCCCAAAAAAATTTAACAATGCTAGGTAAGGGAGGAGGTAAAGGAGGATTTGTGGGAGAGGGGCTTGGACTTCCAGCAAGTGTGTGTGAGCGTGTTAGGTAGGAGTGAATGGAGACGAATGATTTTTGGGACATGATGAGCTATTGGAGTGTGAGCAGGGTATTATTTTGTAAAGGGATGCAGGGAAACTGGTTAGCCAGACTTAAGTCCTGGAAATGGGAAGTACAATGCATGCATTTAAAGGAGGGGTTTAGGATATTGGTAGTTTGTAGGGACGTCTAAACTGTCGTATCTGAGTGCCTCTGCAAAGACAATGATTATGCATGAGTGATGGTGAGTGCTGAATGATGTTGAAAGTCTTTTCTTTCTTTTAGGGTTTTTCTTTCTTTTTGGGTCACCGTGCCTTGGTGGGAAATGGCCGACATGTTAAAACAAAAGAAAAGGGCATATCAGCCGAAAATTAAGAAGAGTGACTGATTGAAGCTCAACCAAAACAAAATACAGCTTGGTATATACAATTCATCTATAACAAAGGTCTGCAAGACCTCTAGTGTAATTTTAAGATTTTTCTCATGATTTGTACCTCTAGAATATATTTTATTTATTTTTTACAGATTTATATGATATATATTTCCAAAACTGTGTAATACAAATAACAGATAATCTAATAAAGTGGAAAATTTCATATACAAACCTAATGATCCACACTGTAATAAATTGTGCAGAGCAAATATAACATGAGGAGTCAGCTGCTCATAATAAACTGAGTCATCACATGAATTGGAGGACCGACCCACAGGATATGACCAGAATCTCAGGGGCCGTGGGAACCCCAGTAAGAAGATGGGAAGTGTGAAGATTGGCAGGAGGGGAGCTGAAATCACTGTTGACAGTATTACAATCCCCAGAAGAATAGGTGATATTCCAATGTTGAACCCTGCAAATACGTGCTTCAATCAGAACCAAGATCAAAAAATGAAAGCATTAAGTTTTCATGTACTATTATTTTCAAAATATGCTACTTCATAATTTAAAAAATTATGCACAGCACTATTACAATGATTTAATTCAGCACTGTTTGCATTTAGTTGTACAGTCCTCCACTGGTAAACCTGATCATAAACTTCATAAATTTCAGTACTACAGTAATATGCAAAAAACCTACATAACAAGGAATTAGCAGTGCCTATAGTTGTTCTCTTCAAAATACAAACATTATTTTTTTAAAAGGTTGGTTTTTTCCACAAAGTGTATACATCTGGAGTAGAAGGCATGGCAGTGCATAATTACAATTTAAATGAAAGCAAGAGCGCATATCATAACTCACAAAATCGTAACATGATCACAAACAAACCATGAAACGGGTGAGGTGTGAACCTATGGCAAGTGAGTTTTAGGATTCAACTGCCATGGGTTCTAATCCCACCTGTTCCATTTTTTTTTTTTTTTTGACAGTGGGCAGTGACAACACTGATAGGCAGATCTCTGCCATTAATGGTGCACAATCAGAAATGTTTTGTGAAGTGCTAGTCACCTTCACACAATATTAGATGCTCCTTTAAACATTCTGACTCCTTATTAACAATTTTTTTTTTTTTTTTTTTTTCAACAAGTCGGCCGTCTCCCACCGAGGCAGGGTGACCCAAAAAAAAAAAGAAAGAAAAATCCCCAAAAAGAAAATACTTTCATCATCATCATCAACACTTTCACCACACTCACACATTATAAACTGCTTTTGCAGAGGTGCTCAGAATACAACAGTTTAGAAGCATATACGTATAGAGATACACAACATATCCCTCCAAACTGCCAATATCCCAAACCCCTCCTTTAAAGTGCAGGCATTGTACTTCCCATTTCCAGGACTCAAGTCCGACTATATGAAAATAACCGGTTTCCCTGAATCCCTTCACTAAATATTACCCTGCTCACACTCCAACAGATCGTCAGGTCCCAAGTATCATTCGTCTCCATTCACTCCTATCTAACACGCTCATGCACGCTTGCTGGAAGTCCAAGCCCCTCACCCACAAAACCTCCTTTACCCCCTCTTTCCAATATTATTATTAACAATAATAATAATAATTTTTATTTCTACAAGAACATGTACAAGGTATACAGGCCTAGCTGATATCAATGCCACTACTACAGAGAGCCCCCCATTGTTATGCAGAGCATTTCAGGCAAATTAGGTCCGAGGATGTGACCCACACCAGTCAACTAACACCCAGGTACCCATTTTACTGATAGGTGAACATAGACAGCAGGTGTCTTGTAGAAACATGTCTTAATGTTTCCACTCATACCAGGGATCAACCCCCCCGGACCTCAGTATGTGAGCAGACCAATGTAGAATTGCAATCCTAATTAGACATATTGCCTTTATAAGCTTGAATTTCACATTAAAGATTGAAAAAAATAAGGCATGTTCATGCTTGGGAATTGTAACCATTATAAGTGGAATTATGTGTACAAGTCACCTACAACTAGAGAGCAATATTTAAATGAATAATACTGACCACAACAGCAAAAAATAAAAGGTCTGAGAATGAATTAAAAAAATAAATAAATTTTTTGGAAATAGCTAAATAGTATAGCACTATACTGTGAACATAATCTAATTTTTGTGTTACCATGAATACTTTAAATCCTGAATACATAAAAATTACTGGATGTTACATACAAAATCTTTCCCCAATGGCTTGGTTGCTGAACACTTTAAAATGATCCATTTATAACAGATTTACCCTCTCACCTACTAAAAGCAAAGTAAACAGAATACAAAGAAAATAAATGTTAAGAAGTTGTATTATTTATATCAAATCAATATCTGTCTCCTACTCTTCCAGATACAATCTTACTCTTTTCACAAGAATCATTCATTTCATCAACTGTTTTGCACTTGTGTTTTATCTTTTATATTCATATTTCATATTCTTCCACTACATTTATGATGCCATTTCAAAGAAAATGGCATCATAAATTTGGTGGAGGAATATGATAAATTTTAGCAGGAAAAGCCCTTACTGGACAACATTCCACCCAGTGAGGATTTATCAAGCATATTACATGCTAGATAAAGCCCCAGTGAGGGTGAAATACAGCATTATAAAGGTTTTTCCTGCTAAAAATGTCTGAAAGTCCCATCTGTATACTAAAAATTAACTTTTTTTTTTTTTTAATCATACTGTACTGGCCATCTCCCACCAAGGCAGGATGACCCAATAAAGAAAATTTCACCAACATTCACTCTATTACTGTCTTGCCAAAGGCGAGTAGATACTACAGTTCAGATGATCTTCCAAACTGCCAACATCCCTGCCCCCTCCTCCAATTTTCATTGAAAACTTTTATGGAGGATAAAAATTTAAAATATCACACTAACCTAGAAGTAGAAAGCTGAAGGAATTATGTCGCTTCTTCTCTGTGAATGGTGTTATCATAAACAGCATAATACTTGTTAGTCTGTGAATCATTCTTGTACCCCATAGGTGGCCAAGACTTATAAGAAATATCCGTGTAGCTGGGGATAAATTCTCCCAAAATTCTAGAGAGAGATTGGCTTCCCGTCGGATTAACTCAACTATGTAAAACACTGAGAGCTGTAAGAATGATGCCTGAGGAAACTGCCATACCTGTCAAACATACAAAAAAATTATCATAAATATTTATACAGCATGTACTATTAAATTAACTTAGAGATGATATGAAGTCATAATGAATTATAGTGATAAAAGAACTATTTTAAATGTCATGGTTTAAAGCAATATGTGTAATGACAATTGTCAAGACTAATAATAATGATGACATTACAACAATGAGGTTAATGACATCAGTCTAATGAGTAAAACAATCATATTACTAGAGTCCTATAGTAGAAGAAAAATAACAGTGACAAGATCAATCTGATTGCCAAGTGATAAAGCAAGATATTTCAGGTTCCCAGTTACCCTTGTCTGTTATTCCAGCATGTCTCAGAAGAAAAATAATTGTAGGAACTATCTTTAACTAAAATAGTTTTCCCTGTTTCCTAGGCTTCTTTTCAACAAATCAAACAAATGATGGAGCAACTTACATTTAATATGCTAATGAAACATTCACTTCTAGTTACAAGGTCAATTTAGACAGAGGCACAGTAAATAAAATAATAGCGCTACATACTGTAATTAGAGAGAGGGCAGTTTCATTTTGTAGGCAATAAAACAATAATGAATGAATGAAAATCTATCAAACTAACAAGTATTTCCTGCAGAGATGTAATTTGCTGGATGGTACGAATTGCAAAAGTCACTCACAAAAACAAAAATGAGTCATGTGGAGTCACTATCTTGGTATTACAGATCAACAACATTAGGGACTTCAGGCTGTGGGTGTACATGATGGTTTCAGATGTAAACACCTTATAAATTTATTGACTTACGGCCAATTACCCAATTTTTAAGGGAATAGAGTGTTATTTACCAATACACTGTCCTCAAAAACCTTAAAAAAAATTACTTTTACAATTCTTATGCCAATGGCTTAAGGCAGAAGGATACATTGTATAAATATACAACATTCTGCCAATCAATAATTAGGGTCAAACTATACATGATATATAAAAATAAAAATAGAATATTTTAGCAAAAAGTCATGGGTCAGTCTATACATGAGACTGATCAACACAAAAGTATATACTATATATGGTAAAAATAATTATTTTATAGGTAGTAGGTTGGTAGACTGCAACTGAGTGTAACAGAAACCTGTAATTGTTTTACATGATGGTAGGACTGCTGGTGTCTTTCTTCTGTCTCGTAAACACGCAAGATGACAGATATATCTTGCTACTTCTACTTACACTGAGGTCACATTACACTTGCATGTACATGCATACATATTTACACACCCATCTGGGTTTTCTTCTGTTTTCTTAATAGTTCGTGTTCTTCTTTATTTCCTCTTATCTCCATGCAGAAATGGAAAAGAATTCTTCCTCTGTAAGCCATGCATGTCATAAGAGGTGACCAAAATGCTGGAAGCATGTCTCGTGGGATACAGCTGGTTCCTTCAAAAAAAAAAAAAAAATATTTTAATTAAAACAGGATTTCTTCAAAAGAGCCCTGCAGCTTACCTGTCTGAATATTCTTGCAAGTGGAATTGTGAGAACTAAATTTGCAAAGCTTCTCTTTGGTGCTGCAACCTGCAGATGCACCTCAGCAGACACTACCTGGTGCAATAATATCAATGGCACTAATGGGCAACCTGGTTAGAGAAAAATATAAATTTACTCATAAAATTTAATAATTAGGTAAAAGCAATATACAGTACTAGTACTGTACTAAGTTTATTTTCACTGATTTTTTAATAGAGCCATTTTCAATTAATGTAGAGTGACATAAAAATGAAACACATTCACCCTTCACTCATTCTCCAGCTGTCTTTCCAGAAGGGCACAAGAATCACTATTAAAATGAACTTGTAATTATTAAGGATACTACTATTGCATTAACAATGAAAGAAGAACCAAAAAGATAAAGAGTGAAAACATATTTTTTTTTTTCATTTAACTTAATCAATCAACAAACATTGCAAAACTTGACAATACATGTATGGATGAAAAGGATGAGGAACTAATGATCTCTAGATATGACAGCAAACATGTATACATTGATATTAGGCAAACTTAAAAAAAAATGTTTGAAGATTAATTAAAGACAATTAACTCATGTTGCCACACACAATATACAGAAGCTGATCAAAGAGAAACCTAAATGTACATTTTTTTTTTTTTTCAACAAGTCGGCCGTCTCCCACCGTATAAATTAAATGGCACTGATAGTATTAGCTAAGTAGAGATTCTGTGAAAATCTTGTTCCTTCAACTCTGTGTGATGATTCAGTTCTTATAGCTATATGAACATTATCTTTAATTCTCTCAACTACTGTACTGTACTCCTATGTCAAAGCCTAACTCTTCTACAACAACAACCATATTATTTATTTTACATCAGTGGTTTATTGTAGGTAGTAGGTTGGTAGACAGCAACCGCCCAGGGAGGTGCTACCGTCCTGCCAAGTGAGTGTAAAACAGAAACCTGTAATTGTTTTACATGATGGTAGGACTGCTGGTGTCTTTTTTCTGTCTCATAAACATGCAAGATTTCAGGTACGTCTTGCCACTTCTTCTTACACTTAGGTCACTCTACATATACATGTATACAAGCATATATATACACAACCCTCTGGGTTTTCTTCTATATTCTTTCTAGTACTTGTTCTTGTTTATTTTCTCTTATCTCCATGGGGAAGTGGAACAGAATTCTTCCTCCGTAAGCCATGCGTGTTGTAAGAGGCGACTAAAATGCTGGGAGCAAGGGGCTAGTAACCCCTTCTCCTGTACAAATTACTAAATTTAAAAAGAAAAACTTTCATTTTTCTTTTTGGACAACCCTGCCTTGGTGGGATACGGCCAGTTTGTTGAAAAAAGAAAAAAATCAGTGGTTTATGATATTGGCAATTTGGAGGAACTTCTAAGCTGTTGTATATGAGCACCGCTGCAAAGACAGTGATTTTGTATGAATGATGGTGAAAGTGTTGAATAATGATGAAAGTTTTTTCTTTCTTTTTGGGTCACCCTGCCTCGGTGGGAAACGCTGACACGTTAAAAAAAAAATCAGCAGTCATATCCTACCAAGGTTGAGTGAGGCACAAAAGAAAACTCATTCACCATAATTCATTCAAACTCTGTTTTACCAGAAGTGTGCTGACATCACAATTCAGATCACCCTTCAACTGCAACATCCTTACCCCTCCTTCAGAAGGAAGGCATTGCCCTTCCCACCCCCACGATGAAAGTCTGGCTAATGAATTTTTTTTTTTTTTTACCAAGTTGGCCATCTCCCACCGAGGCAGGGTGACCCAAAAAGAAAGAAAATCCCGAAGAAGAAAATACTTTCATCATCATTCAACACTTTCATCTCACTCACACATAATCACTGTTTTTGCAGAGGTGCTCAAAATACAACAGCTTAGAAGCATATATGTATAAAGATACACAACATATTCCTCCAAACTGCCAATATCCCAAACCCCTCCTTTAAAGTGCAGGCACTGTACTTCCCATTTCCAGGACTCAAGTCCGGCTATATAAAAATAACTGGTTTCCCTGAATCCCTTCACTAAATATTACCCTGCTCACACCCCAACAGCTCGTCAGGTCCCAAATACTATTCGTCTCCATCCACTCCTATCTAACACGCTCACGCACGCTTGTTGGAAGTCCAAGCCCCTTGACCACAAAACCTCCTTTACCCCCTCCCTCCAACCTTTTTGAGGATGACCCTTACCCCGCCTTCCTTCCCCTACAGATTTATACGCTCTCCATGTCATTCTACTTTGATCCATTCTCTCTAAATGACCAAACCACCTCAACAACCTCTCTTCAGCCCTCTGACTAATACTTTCATTAACTCCACACCTTCTCTTAATTTCCACACTCTGAATTTTCTGCATAATATTTACACCACACATAAAGTGGGAGTTCTCACAGTTGCTCTTTGCTGATGACACTGCTCTTGGGAGATTCTGAAGAGAAGTTGCAGAGATTGGTGGATGAATTTGGTAGGGTATGCAAAAGAAGAAAATTAAAAGTGAATACAGGAAAGAGTAAGGTTATGAGGATAACAAAAAGATTAGGTGATGAAAGATTGGATATCAGCTTGGAGAGAGAGAGTATGGAGGAGGTGAATGTATTCAGATATTTAGGAGTGGAAGTGTCAGCGGATGGGTCTATGAAAGATGAGGTGAATCATAGAATTGATGAGGGGGAAAGGGTGAGTGGTGCACTTAGGAGTCTGTGGAGACAAAGAACTTTGTCCTTGGAGGCAAAGAGGGGAATGTATGAGAGTATAGTTTTACCAACGCTCTTATATGGGTGTGAAGCATGGGTGATGAATGTTGCAGCGAGGAGAAGGCTGGGGGCAGTGGAGATGTCATGTCTGAGAGCAATGTGTGGTGTGAATATAATGCAGAGAATTCGTAGTTTGAAGTTAGAAGGAGGTGCGGGATTACCAAAACTGCTGACCAGAGGGCTGAGGAAGGTTGTTGAGGTGGTTCGGACATGTAGAGAGAATGGAGCGAAACAGAATGACTTCAAGAGTGTATCAGTCTGTAGTGGAAGGAAGGCGGGTAGGGTCGGCCTAGGAAAGTTGGAGGGAGGGGGTAAAGGAGGTTTGTGTGCGAGGGGTTTGGGACTTCCAGCAGGCATGCGTGAGCGTGTTTGATAGGAGTGAATGGAGACAAATGGTTTTTAATACTTGACATGCTGTTGGAGTGTGAGCAAAGTAACATTTATGAAGGGGTTCAGGGAAACCGGCAGGCCGGACTTGAGTCCTGGAGATGGGAAGTACAGTGCCTGCACTCTGAAGGAGGGGTGTTAATGTTGCAGTTTAAAAACTGTAGTGTAAAGCACCCTTCTGGCAAGACAGTGATGGAGTGAATGATAGTGAAAGTTTTTCTTTTTCGGGCCACCCTGCCCTGGTGGGAATCGGCCAGTATGATAATAAAAAAATATAACATTGCCCTTAGACAGGACATCTCCACTCACTCCAACCATCTCCTCACTGCAGCATTTACAACCCAAGCTTCACACCCATATAAGTGTGTTGGTACTACTATACTTTCATACATTCCCTTCCTTGCCTCTATAGACAACATTTTTTTGTCTCCACATATACCTCAATGCACCACTCATTTTTTTTCCTTCATCAATTCTATGATTAACCTCATCCTTCATAAATCCATCTGCTGACACATCAACTCCCAAATATCTGAAAACATTCACTTCTTCCATACTCCTCTCTAATTTGATATCCAATTTTTCTTTATCTAAATTATTTGATACCCTCATCACCTTACTCTTTTCTATGTTCACTTTCAATTTTCTACTCGCCCACCAACCTTTGCAATTTCTCTCTAGAATCTCCCATAAGCACAGTATCATCAGCAAAAAGTAATTGTGTCAATTCCCAGTTTGTATTTGATTCCCCATAATTTAATCCCACCCCTCTCCCAAACACCCTAGCATTTACTTCTTTTACAACCTCATCTATAAATATATTAAACAACCATGCTGACATTACACATCCCTGTCTAAGGCCTACTTTTACCGGGAAGTATTCTCCCTCTCTTCTACACACCCTAACCTGAGCCTCACTATCCTCATAAAAACTCTTACAGCATTTATAGATTACCACCTATTCCATAAACTTGCAACATCTGCCACTTGCTCCCCAAACCACTCTATCATAGCCTTTATAAATCCATAAATGCAATAACAACTTCCCTACCTTTATCTAAATACTGTTCATATATATGCTTCAATGTAAACATTTTGATCTACACATCCCTACCCACTCTAAAACCTCCTTGCTCATCCGCAATCCTACTTCTGTCTTACCTCTAATTCTTTCAATAATAACCCTATTACTCTGCTATAACACCTGTGCTCACACACAAAAAATATTTCTTAAAATATTTTAAAGCTAATACAGTATAAAGTATTAAGAATGTACTCACCTATCTGAAGCAGCTGGGAGTAAATATATAAAAAATTGCTATTTTGAAAAGTTTTGTAGTAAATAAACATGGATTTCTTAAAACCCAGTATGTACACCTTCTGTATTTCATTTACAATAAGCATTGTTGCAGTGATGATGAGAAGACATATTCCCACAGCTTTTTTGTGCAGGCACCTTGAATAAAAAAATTAACACCTTAAAAGGGGCAATTCTTCCAATTATGAGAGATACAGTTTTCTGTTAACAAACGGGAAATGATTTCCAACACAGTAGGATAACAGAAAATACTTACAAAGAATGGGCCAACTACTACATGACTGACATAACCTCCCAAAGATGGGTGAAGTGAGAATATCTTAAAGTATTTGTATGGCAAACTTTCCCCTTTAAATGGAGGTGTTATGTGATGACCCATTATCCCTGAGGTTTTTGGAGCTTATTAATAATTTCCCTTTTTCCATGAATAAGCTGTCTACTTATCTCACTAATCCTCTGGATTTCACTCTCGAAAATTACTTTCATCATCAGCAAAAAGAATAGTGAAATACTGATTTAAAACTAAGTCACAGACACTCGGTATAACACCGGTCCCTAGTAAAATGTTTCAACACTATAAACTAGTCTTGGTATAGTGGTTTCAACACTATAAACTGGTCCTAGTAAAGTGGTGTCAACACTATACACTGGTCCCAGTGTAGTGGATTCAACACTAAGTAACATCAAAGAAAACCAGCAACATCACACCACTTATAAGTAAAATATTCACAGTAGTATCTCAGCAGTCTCATAGTCTAGGTGTTAAGAATTCCATGTAGCTTATTATTCTATCCTTTCTAGTCTGCTTCCATGAAATCTTACTCAGCTTAAAACTATTAATTACAACTTTTGTAAAAAATTACTAACACTGCAACAACTAATCTAAGTTTTATACCACAATTGTGTAACAATAAATAAATGAATAATACTGTTATACCTGAAAAAGTGCTGGTCTACGTGGTATTCCTGTCATGGAGGTGTTTCCTTCTTGTGTCATGTTGATAACTTGTTCATACCAGCCACTGTGTGGTAACTGTGAGCCAAAACTCAGGCCAGCTACAGTCATCATCATTGGCACAAACAAAGCTAATTTCACGCTGACAGGTGGTCCGACGCAAAGAATGTTTATCATTCACAGGTTGAGATTCTTCATACTTGCCAGATAGCCCTGTCAGTAGCTTGACTGTGTGAGGTAGCAAGGATGAGATCATCCAAGCTGTAATTATATAATATTAATGTTAGTACATGCATTTAATGTGAGTAATAATGAAGGAATATAGATGGCGAGAATATTTTGAGGAACTTTTAAATGTTAAGGAAGAAAGGGAGGCGGTAATTTCATGCACTGGCCAGGGAGGTATACCATCTTTTAGGAGTGAAGAAGAGCAGACTGTAAGTGTGGTGGAGGTACGTGAGGCATTACGTAGAATGAAAGGGGGTAAAGCAGCTGGAACTGATGGGATCATGACAGAAATGTTAAAAGCAGGGGGGGATATAGTGTTGGAGTGGTTGGTACTTTTGTTTAATAAATGTAAAGAAAAAAGGGGAAGGTACCAAAGGGATTGGCGGAGAGCATTATAGTCCCTTTATATAAAGGAAAGGGGACAAAAGAGATTGTAAAAATTATAGAGGGAAAAAGTTTACTGAGTATACCAGGAAAAGTATACGGTAAAGGGTTATAATTGAAAGAATTAGAGGTAAACAAATGTAGAATTGCGGACGAACAGAGGTTTCAGAGTGGGTAGGGGGTGTGTAGATCAAGTGTTTACATTGAAGCATTATGTGAACAGTATTTAGATAAAGGTAGGGAAGTTTTTTTATTGCATTTATGGATTTAGAAAAGGCATATGATAGAGTGGATAGAGGAGCAATGTGGCAGATGTTGCAAGTTTATGGAATAGGTGGTAAGTTACAAATGCTGTAAAGAGCTTTTAAAGGATAGTGAGGGTCAGGTTAGGGTGTGTAGAAGAGGGGAGAATACTTCCGGTAAAAGTAGGTCTTAGACAGGGATTTTAATGTCACCATGGTTGTTTAATATATTTATAGAGGGTTGTAAAAGAAGTAAATGCTAGGGTGTTCGGAGAGGGGTGGATTAAATTATGGGAATCAAAATTTAAAATGGGGGAAATTTACACAGTTACTTTTTGCTGATGATACTGTGCTTATGGGAGATTCTAAAGAAAAATTGCAAAGGTTAGTGGATGAGTTTGAGAATGTGTGTAAAGGTAGAAAGTTGAAAGTGAAACTAAGAAAAAAGTAAGGTGATGAGGGTATCAAAAGATTTTGATAAAGAAAAATTGGATATCAAATTGGGGAGGAGGAGTATGGAAGAAGTGAATGTTTTCAGATACTTGGGAGTTGACGTGTCAGCGGATTGGGTTTATGAAGGATGAGGTGAATCATAGAATGATGAGGGAAAAAAGGTGAGTGGTGCTTGAGGTATATGTGGAGTCAAAAAACGGTTATCTATGGAGGCAAAGAAGGGAATGTATGAAAGTATAGTAATACCAACACTCTTATATGGATGTGAAGCTTGGGTGGTAAATGCAGCAGCGGGAGAAGGGTTTGGACAGTGGAGTGTCCTTCAAGGGCAATGTGTGGTTAAATTTTATCAAAAAATTCGGAGTGTGGAAATTAGGAAAGGTGGGAGTTAATAAAGCTTTATCAAGGGCGAAGGGGGTTTGTTGGGGTGGTTTGGCATTTAGAAAAGGGATAAAATAGAATGACATGGAAACTATAAATCTATGGGGGAAAAAAGAGGGTAGGGCGTCCTCGAAAGGGGGAAAAGGGGGGAAAGGGAGGTTTTTGTGGGTGAGGGGCTTGGACTTCCAGCAAGCGGCATGAGCGTGTTGATAGGAGTGAAGGGAGACGAATGATACGGGGGACCTACGTCTGTTGGAGTGTGAGCAGGGTAAATTAGTAAAGGGGGATTCAGGGAAACCGTTATTTCAATAGTCGGATTTGATCCGGAAATGGGAAGACAATGCCTGCACTTTAAAGGAGGGGTTTGGGATATTGGCAGTTTGGAGGATATGTTTTTTATCTCTATACTATATGCTTCTAAACTGTTATATTCTGAGCACCTCTGCAAAAGCAGTGATAATGTGTGAGTGTGGTGAAAGTGTTGAATGATATAAAAGTATTTTTTTTTTGGGGATTTTCTTTTTTTTTGTGGGTCACCCGCCCGGGGGGGAGAACCGACTTTTTTAAAAAAAAAAAAAAAAAAAAAAAAAAAATAATAAAGGATTAAACAAATTGAAAAACTAGAGCAAAACATTTATGGAAATATTCCAAAATTTCTTCTGTAAAAATAAAAAAATATTTTTACCCCCATCCCTATGTCAACACTAGAACAAAACCTGGGAAAGGGAAATTAAACACCATCAAGGACACAAAAGTCGGCAATGCAGCTGAATGAGAGAGTGAACGCCAAAAATACTTGCCCCAAAAATCGTGAGTGGAGGACATTGGAAGCCACCTGAAAAGATTTCCCCTACTGTATCATAAAGGCGGGGAAAAACGGGTAATAACAGCTGGACCAATCAAAAATTTAAATTAAACTACCTGAACATTGTAATAAGAATGTAATTTCCCTAAAAACTGACCCTTCTCTTCTACAATGTGTAAAATATTGTACAATAAGGGGTTTTAAACCCTTCGACTGTCGCGCCGAATATACTCTTACGAGGTACCATGTTTGACTATATATAAACAAATTCTAGGGGCTTCAAATCAAAGCAGGAGAAAGCTGGTAGGCCCACATTTGAAGAAGGGGTCTGTGGGTCAGTGTGCACCTTAAAAAACATCCTGGAGCACGCATGCATAATGAAAAAAAAAAAACTCCGACCTTTTTTTTTAATTAAAATGCGATTTTGGTCTATTTTCATATATATTTAGGGTTGATCTCGTTTTCTTGGGTCATTTATAGAAGGGAAAACAAAAATTATAAAAAAAGGGGTGTTTTTGATTGATTTTACTATAAAAAAAACCTGGAAATGGAGCTCAATATAGGGGAAATTTTGTTTTTTCCCAATTTTAAAAAGAAAACAAATGGTCATTGCCAATAAATGCCAACAACTTTTCTAATTGCAGTCATAAAAGGGGTTTTATGTTTTTTATAAAATTTTATACATATTGCAGTAGTCTGCATAAATAAGTCTTCTTTTTTTTGTTTAATAAAAATTCAAAGTAAAAGCAAGAGAAAATATCAGAGGGGTCTGGAACAACTGATGAACAAAGAAAATTTTTATTTTAGAGCCAGGAATTCGCATTTTTCATTCTGGACCTTATTTTGAAATTGCTATTTTTTTTTTTTTTGTGAAATTTGGGCCAAATGAAAATTTCTGCCCACTTTATGGGTAGTTAAAATTTGGTATTGGGGGCATTTCTTGTACCAATCAATAAAAAAAATGAGTTCTAAAGAAATAGCAGAGTTTGGTGACGGGAAAAAGGGAATTAGCCGAAAATGGGGCCCAAAAAGTGGGCAAATCGCCGTTTTTGAAATATCCCGGGTCGCTAACTCCGTGAGAGAAATAATGCCGTCATTTTTTCCATCAAATTTCTTTTTTGGGTGCATTATAATCGGGAAAAGATTCTCATCATTTCGAAGAAAAAAATTTTTTTTTTTTTTTTAAATTTTTGCAAACCCCCAGGAGACACCTCGGGTTTGGGGGTTTTGCAACTCAAGGGGTAATGAAACTCAACGAATATCAACGGGTATTTTACTAACTCTTATTTTAAAAGTCAAAACTGCCATTACTAAAGATCAATATTTTTTTACCAAGGGAAAGACAGCCAAACAAGAAAAAAGTAGACTGGAAAAATAACACAAATTTGGGAAAATTTTGAAAAAGAGAAAAAGCAGTGTAAAAAATTACATTTAAAAAATCTAATTTTTTCCTATAAATAACTATATTCTCAAAATACAACTGGACAATAATTTTCTATGTTCATTATGTGAAGGGAAATTTTTTTTTTCCATAAAGTCCATCTATAACTTTTGAGTGACTGGGGCACTAATATTTAGTAAACCCAATTCCATTTTTTTAAACATGATCAAATTAGGCAAAAAGGGAATTTTTATCAGAGAATAATGGGACCAGCACGTTAAAAATTTTAAAGCATTGGGGACACTTGCAACAAGGAGAAAGGGGAATAAAGGGTACAGAAGCCCTGTTTTTAGGTGACAGGGTTGAAATTATAGAAAAAATTATAAGTGTGGGGAAAAAAAAAACAAAGAGTTAAACCCAAAATATTATTCAGAGAGCTGGGGGGAGTGCTGAGGGGGTTTGGGCATTTAAAGGATGGAGCTGAAAGGATAACTGAGAGGATATATAAAATCGGGGTGAAAGGAAAAAGGGATAGGGGTTTTCAAGAAGGGTTTGGGGGAAAAGTAAGGGGGTTTTTACTGCTAAGGGCTTTTAAAATCCAACAGGCTTAAGTGAGAGTTAGACAAAGAGTAAAAGTTGGGTTTTTTGACTTTAAAATGATGTAGAGTACAAGCCCAAGGGAAAATTTATTAGGATTCAGGGAAACCCTCATTTTTAAATTGAGTCCTGGAGGGAGTAAGTACAGTGCCAAACTCGAAGGGGTGTAATAATTGCAGTTCAGAGATCATGTGAACTGCAATGTCAGACATTTCCACCAAAACACAATTGGTAATTGGATGGTAATGTTTTTCCTCTTTTTATGGATCACCCTACCCCAGTAGGAGATGACTAAGGGTTTAAAAAAAAAAAAAAAAAGATAAAAAGTACAGAAAAACAAATTTGATTTAGATTCTTGAAATGACTACTAAGGGGGGTTTCCACGAAGTGGCAGAGTGTGATAAAAGATGAAGGAATGCAAAAAAAAAAAACAAAATTAAAAAGAATGGGGGTTTTTAAAGACTTACCCCCGTGAAGTAAATAGAATAAACAATGAAGTATGAATCATAATTTTCAAGGTGCAGAAAAATATGGGGAAGGGAATTTAAAAAGTGAGAAATAAATTATACAAGTAGCTTTTTTTCTAAAATTTAAAAAAAAAATATAATAATAAGAATGAAAAATGGGGGAAAACGGGAAAACAGAGTAATAAACACGAGGGGAGTATAATTTTTTTTTTTTTTTTCATGTAAACCATCTTCCACCAAGGGGGGTGACCCAAAAAGAAAATCCCCAAAAAGAAAAAAACTTTCATCACATTTAACTTTTCACCTCACTCACACATAATCACTGTTTTTGCAGAGGTGCTCAGAAACACAACAGTTTAGAAGCGTATACGTATAAAGATACATGACATATCCCTCCAAACTGCTAATATCCCAAAACCCCTCCTTTAGAGTGCAGGCATTGTACTTCCCATTTCCAGGACTCAAGTCCGGCTATGTAAAAATAACCGGTTTCCCTGAATCCCTTCACTAAATATTACCCTGCTCACACTCCAACAGATCGTCAGGTCCCAAATACCATTTGTCTCCATTCACTCCTATCGAACACGCTCATGCACGCCTGCTGGAAGTCCAAGCCCTTCACCCACACAAAACCTCCCTTACCCCTTCCTTCCAACCTTTTCGAGGACGACCCCTACCCCGCCTTCCTTTCCCTACAGATTTATACACTCTCCATGTCATTCTACTTTGATCCATTCTCTCTAAATGACCAAACCACCTCAACAACCCCTCTTCAGCCCTCTGACTAATACTTTTATTACTCCACACCTCCTAATTTCCACACTCCGAATTTTCTGCATAATATTTACACCACACATTGCCCTTAGACAGGACATCTCCATTGCCTCCAACTGCCTCCTCACTGCTGCATTCACAACCCAAGCTTCACACCCACATAAGAGTGTTGGTACTACTATACTTTCATACATTCCCTTCTTTGCCTCATCAATTCTATGATTAACCTCATCCTTCATAAATCCATCCGCCGACACGTCAACTCCCAAGTATCTGAAAACATTCACTTCTTCCATACTCCTCCTCTCCAATTTGATATCCAATTTTTCTTTATCTAAATCATTTGGTATGGGGTAGGTTTAAAAATGTAGTGTTAGAGTGTTCAGCAGAAGTTTGTGGTTACAGGAAAGTGGGTGCAGGAGGGAAGGGGAGCGATTGGTGGAATGATGATGTAAAGAGAGTAGTAAGGGAGAAAAAGTTAGCATATGAGAAGTTTTTACAAAGTAGAAGTGATGCAAGGAGGGAAGAGTATATGGAGAAAAAGAGAGAGGTTAAGAGAGTGGTGAAGCAATGTAAAAAGAGAGCAAATGAGAGAGTGGGTGAGATGTTATCAACAAATTTTGTTGAAATAAGAAAAAGTTTGGAGTGAGATTAACAAGTTAAGAAAGCCTAGAGAACAAATGGATTTGTCAGTTAAAAATAGGAGAGGAGAGTTATTAAATGGAGAGTTAGAGGTATTGGGAAGATGGAGGGAATATTTTGAGGAATTGTTTAAATGTTGATGAAGATAGGAAGCTGTGATTTCGTGTATAGGGCAAGGAGGAATAACATCTTGTAGGAGTGAGGAAGAGCCAGTTGTGAGTGTGAGGGAAGTTCGTGAGGCAGTAGGTAAAATGAAAGGGGGTAAGGCAGCCGGGATTGATGGGATAAAGATAGAAATGTTTAAAAGCAGGTGGGGATATAGTTTTTGGAGTGGTTGGTGCAATTATTTAATAAATGTATGGAAGAGGGTAAGGTACCTAGTGATTGGCAGAGAGCATGCATAGTTCCTTTATAAAGGCAAAGGGGATAAAAGAGAGTGCAAAAATTATAGGGGGATAAGTCTGTTGAGTGTACCTGGTAAAGTGTATGTAGAGTTATAATTGAAAGAATTAAGAGTAAGACAGAGAATAGGATAGCAGATGAACAAGGAGGCTTTAGGAAAGGTAGGGGGTGTGTGGACCAGGTGTTTACAGTGAAACATATAAGTGAACAGTATTTAGATAAGGCTAAAGAGGTCTTTGTGGCATTTATGGATTTGGAAAAGGCGTATGACAGGTGGATAGGGGGGCAATGTGGCAGATGTTGCAAGTGTATGGTGTAGGAGGTAGGTTACTGAAAGCAGTGAAGAGTTTTTACGAGGATAGTGAGGCTCAAGTTAGAGTATGTAGGAAGAGGAAATTTTTTCCCAGTAAAAGTAGGCCTTAGACAAGATGTGTGATGTCACCGTGGTTTGTTTAATATATTTATAGATGGGGTTGTAAGAGAAGTAAATGCGAGGGTCTTGGCAAGAGGCGTGGAGTTAAAAGATAAAGAATCACACACAAAGTGGGAGTTGTCACAGCTGCTCTTTGCTGATGACACTGTGCTTTTGGGAGATTCTGAAGAGAAGCTGCAGAGATTGGTGGATGAATTTGGTAGGGTGTGCAAAAGAAGAAAATTAAAGGTGAATACAGGAAAGAGTAAGGTTATGAGGATAACAAAAGATTAGGTGATGAAAGATTGAATATCAGATTGGAGGGAGAGAGTATGGAGGAGGTGAACGTATTCAGATATTTGGGAGTGGACGTGTCAGCGGATGGGTCTATGAAAGATGAGGTGAATCATAGAATTGATGAGGAAAAAGAGTGAGTGGTGCACTTAGGAGTCTGTGGAGACAAAGAACTTTGTCCTTGAGGCAAAGAGGGGAATGTATGAGAGTATAGTTTTACCAACGCTCTTATATGGTATGAAGCATGGGTGATGAATGTTGCAGCGAGGAGAAGGCTGGAGGCAGTGGAGATGTCATGTCTGAGGGCAATGTGTGGTGTGAATATAATGCAGAGAATTCGTAGTTTGGAAGTTAGGAGGAGGTGCGGGATTACCAAAACTGTTGTCCAGAGGGCTGAGGAAGGGTTGTTGAGGTGGTTCGGACATGTAGAGAGAATGGAGCGAAACAGAATGACTTCAAGAGTGTATCAGTCCTGTAGTGGAAGGAAGGCGGGGTAGGGGTCGGCCTAGGAAGGGTTGGAGGGAGGGGTAAAGGAGGTTTTGTGTGCGAGGGGCTTGGACTTCCAGCAGGCATGCGTGAGCATGTTTGATAGGAGTGAATGGAGACAAATGGTTTTTAATACTTGACGTGCTGTTGGAGTGTGAGCAAAGTAACATTTATGAAGGGATTCAGGGAAACCGGCAGGCCAGACTTGAGTCCTGGAGATGGGAAGTACAGTGCCTGCACTCTGAAGGAGGGGTGTTAATGTTGCAGTTTAAAAACTGTAGTGTAAAGCACCCTTCTGGCAAGACAGTGATGGAGTGAATGATGGTGAAAGTTTTTCTTTTTCAGGCCACCCTGCCTTGGTGGGAATCGGCCAGTGTGATAATAAAAAAAATAATCACCTTACTCTTTTCTATGTTCACTTTCAACTTTCTACCTTTACTCCCCAAGTATTAATATTATACCCAAACTGCTAGTCATTTAGATTTCTGACTAATGTCAACTAGACATACAAAAACCAAATCCACATCTTACCGAGGCCAACAACTAACCACTGCTCCAGTAGCCACAAGATATATGCATCAATAGGTGGTAGTATTCCGAACAGCCAGAGTACTGGGCACATAACAAATACCATGTGAAACAAACCATCCAATGCCAATAGCCAGGGCATACCAGGGTAATGTCTGCAAAGATAGGTGGTGTGTTTCAGATGAAAAACCATGTGCAAAAACCGATTAAAAGTATGCATACAACTTTATGTTAGTCTAGGTGCAGTGGCTGAACAATCAAACTGTTCTAAGTCTCTTGTATTTTTAAACTGAAGCTATATCTTATTCTGAGAGGCTTATTATACCCAAGACTGCCAGAATTGTGCTCCCTGGCTTATATAAATGTTGATCTAACCTTGAATTTTGAATGAAGAACTATCACTGAGAGTTAGTTAAAATGTAAAATACCACTTATCCTACAAATATATCACATACCAGCAAACTCTGATATCAAACTATTGTTATTACGTATTTAAGATTATAACAAAAAAGCATTTTCAATAATCAAGCCAGTTACTTAGGAAAAACAACAAATTATTCATTAAAAACACATGAAATTAAGTTTTCCTTTAATAAGAGAATTTATACTGTATAACAATAAACTTACAAAACATCAACCATTTAATACAATTACAACCATAAAATATTTACATGAAACAGCATAATCAAGCAACAAAAACATAGCTAACTCAACTCTGTATCTTATATACTCCCAAACTTTTCCCAGTCCCATAATCTACAGCTATCTTCAAATTCTCCTATCTTTCCCATCCTATAACCATTTCTAACTATGACATTAATAACACATGTCCTGCTCTCTCTCCAGTTAGCTTACTTCAACAGAAGATGTATTAGGACACATGTCAACATGTGAGAAGGACGAGAGAAGGCAGGAAGGTCCCAGGAGAGGGGATGAAATGCTGCAGGTTCAGGTGGGCTACCTCCTATCAGTGGCCATATACCAACACTCACAGTCAAGATGCCCAAAACAGTAAAAGTCACAGATGCTTGCCATGGCTGAAAAAATGCAAAAATTGTAACATGTATGAAGTGCAGTAATTCCTCTCTTAACTCTCCTCTTCCAGGAAACCATAATTATTACTCCCACCTGCCAGTGTGGACATGAAAATAGTTAACAGCCCAGCTAGATGGCTAAAAACTCCAAAACTACGAAGAATGCTAAATCAGATCTAGTAACCATGCGGCAGCTTCAGTAATGGAAGACGGAAGATTAGGTACAAAATTATACGTAACAAAGAGAAACTATATTTTTATACCTGTTCCAAGTAGAATGCCTTGGTGTTTGGGAAGGGTTCTTGATCTAATGAACTGGAGCCATCCTTCTCTTCCTCAAATCAAAACCAATTACTCCCACTTCTTCCATTCCTCTGGTGTTGTATGATCATGAATATGATTATTTTTATTTTAACACACCAGCAGTTCCCCACTGAGGTAGGGTGCTATGAAAAAGCAGACATGCTTTCACCAACACTCACTCTATCACTGTCTTGACAGAGGCATGCCAACATTTCAGTTCAAATTCCCTTCCAAATGCAATACACATACTCAGAATTTATAACATTAATGATGGAGCACAAATATTAGAACATAGGACAAGCACATGCATGATACTTACTACATGAAAATCATAAGTAGAGGAAGGTCGTACATAGTACACAACTCCAGCACCAACAAGTCCAGCAATGATGGAATGGACAACAATGGCTCCTTTCATTTTCTTCTCCTTGATGAGAAATTCCCATGTCTTTGGCCCAAATGGTGAATCAAATTCAATTACCTCCTCATCTGTTGCTAGATTCACCTATTGGATAATTTCCATGGATTATTTCTTTAATACAAAATGTGATAAATAATTTCAGATACTAAGTTTACTGTGCACAAGATGCTTGCAAAAAAAGGCTACATTACCTGAATGCATGTCTAGTGTCTCAGGACTGTATAGTTGTGGGAATGTGTGGTCTTTCTTGTAGAGTACCTCAAATTTCAAACAGCTCCCAACTCGAACAATCATGTAAGTGTATTTTTGTAAGTGCTTTTGTAAGTGTATTTTTGGGGGTCTGAAATGGACTAATCTAATTTACATTATTCCTTATGGGAACAAATTCGTTCGGCAATGGTACTCGAACAGCCTTCTGGAACGAATTATGGCTGATATTCGAGGTACCACTGTACTCGGTATATTTTAGAGTAATTAGTTAGCCAAACTTAAATTCTAGAGATGAGAAGTATGGTGCCTGCACTTTGAAGGATGGGTGGTTATGTTGCAGATTAGAGGACAAATTTGAACTGTCATGTCTGCACACTTCTTGCAAGGTAGCTATTAAATGAGTAATCGTGAAAGTGTTTCTACCTTTAGGACACCCTACCTTGCTGGGAGGAAGTCAATATGGTAAAAACAAAAAAAGCATGGTGCTCCTCAAATGTGCATACAAGGCTAGATAAAAAAAAAAAAGTCAAGACTTTAGTATCCTTCTGTTTTGCATTGCCTCAAAGCAGCAGTGAGAAAGGAACCCTGAGTTACTAAATAACCTTATGGAACAGGATGATATGATACCCTTCGAGTGGTTGAGTCTGAATACAAGACATACTGTCAGATGATGCCATTCAGTTTTGCCATTTAAAAATCAAAGCATTTTTCATTTAGATCTGCAACTAGTTGCAAAGGCTACTGCATTATTTTTTATTCATATGTATATTGCTTAAATCAAGAAAGGATGCAATTTATGTCATTATTATACCACTGTGAGGAAAGCAAAGAAGTACCCATTCTTTTATTTATTTTTATTTTATTAACACTGTTTCCCATCATTCATTCCATCACTGCCTTGCCACAGGCACACCTACACTACAGTTAAAAAACTGCAGCATCGACACCCCGCCTTCAGAGTACAGGCATGTACTTCCCACCACCAGGATTCAAGTCTGGCTTCCTGGTTGCCTTGATGATTAATTTTTTAGTTAAATTTGCACAAGAGCACCATGGTGAAATATAGTGCATTTACAAAACCAGCACATTGTTATTTTCAATTAATTCTGTTTTTCCATCCTTTAGTACCCCTTTGTTTCTATTTAGTCTTTCTAATAATATATAGCACAGTATTATCACTGTAATATTATGTATTTTAACCAATATGTAATAATTTATATCTTTCTATACAGTACAGCAGACACAATCGTATACAGTCATTGACTATTATAGAAGCAACACACATCATTGGAAGTGATTTAGTTGCTGAATGTCAGTTCTGACTTTCCTTACCCCAACACACACATCAATGAGATATGTGTTGGCAGAGGAGGCCTGTAGCTCACTAGTCAGAGCATTTGGCTCACAAATGAAAGATCCTGAGTTCAATCACCAGGCACAGCAAAACATATGGGAAATTCTTACACCCACTGGCACCGTTCATTTAGCACTAAATAGATCAAATATGTAACTAGGTGTTAGTTGACTGCTATTAATCATATTTTAATAGGTGGTATACATAACTAGTCAGACTTTTAAATGAGCTGAGGAAGGATAACAACTCTTAGTGTGTTGAGATGAACTATATGAAAAAATATTATTACTCTACCTGTTCAATTTCTCCTGATTTTGACTTTTGAGTGCGAAGAAAGTAAGCAAGAAGCTGCAGAACCAAGGAATACACACCATCCAACACACCACTGATAATCACTGCCTGATGCAAACTTATCATCTCATTGTGTTCCAGAAGCACAAACAGTGTGGTAAATATGGGAATCATGGAAAAGATGAGCATCTGGAAAAAATATCAATAAAATACTGTAGTAGATAAAATATTTCACAGTTACTAAAATTATCCAGTAAATCCTATTTACCTGAATACTGTATTAATAAATGAAGAAAAGACTCAATTATGATATGAAAAGGTCCTTGCCTTCTGCAATACATTGGTAAAACTGGCCACTCTCTTTCTAAGATACTTGGAGAATACAAAAAAAAAAATATTCACCTTGTTGACACTAACAGCATACTTTTGTCATGCTGGAGACCATAACCAACCAATAAGTGGTTCCTCCTCCACAAATTATCTATTCCTCTTGTAGCCTTCACAAATGACATCATCTGGAACCAGTCCTTTTACACATTCCCAATATGACTTATAGCACCAGCTTTATTTCTGCTCATGCTTGTCTTTCCTGGAACACTGTTAAATACAGTACTGTAACCTTCAGAAAAATGTGTACCTTGACCTAGCCTTGGCTATCTTCCAACCTCCCATCACCTGAAAGGACTTTCATATATCTCCTCTTTTCTTTCTCACTTGAGATATGATAGTGCTCAAAAGAGTACCTGAGCACTACTTAATTTAATTTTTATCTCCAATTTATGGGATGTGATTTTTATGCTTTATGTATATTTAAAGGGCAACATATTTAACAGAGGTAGCTCATATAAAAGATTTGTTTATAACAACACATTCAGTTTGTAGTACAAGGTAGAGGTCTAAACCAAAATATTTTACCTGGAGAAGATACACATAAAGTGGAGCACCTTCTGAGCCAAACAGCCTTAGGCCACCAAGGAAGGTCTCAAAGAGTCGACGTATAATAAATGGCTTCTTATAGTCATTGACAAGTGGAGATTCCATCCTTCTATTTGCCGCTGCCCAAGCCAAGCGGGCAGTGGCTGAGAATTCAGTCTGTAAACAAGGAATGGTATTAAATATAACTTTGTAAATTACTTTCTTGGTCTTTTACAATTGAATTTACAGGTTTATCGATCTTACTGACCTCAACTCATATAAAAGTCTCTCTGTCTAAGGTGCACAGTAAACTCCAGTAAGTCAAGTGATTGTAGCTTGCATCTTCAATATTCTGCAATTTAAATTTAGCTTCTAATTCCCAATAGAAGCATGCCATTTCCAATAAGGCATGCTAGAGCAGAGTTCATTTCCACATTTTTGTTAAGGAGTGCCTCAGCAGGCAAACAGGTAGTAGACCCCCCACTGTGCATTGGGCAACTCCACTGTTTTAGCAGTGTGAGGGAGGGTGAGGGGATATAAACAGCCCCCCCATGCAGGTCAGTGTACATGGAAATGTGCCATATGATTATTGCTCAGTGCTCATCACTCACTTTTTCCTTCTTTTCATTGCCCCATCTCATCTCAAGATATTTATTATGGCATCCAAATGAAGTGCAGGTGATGTTGGTTAAGCAAGGAAGAATATGAAGTCCGAAACTATGCTTATTTCGAAAAACTGGAGGTAACTGAGATGCTGAAGGGTAGTGCATGCATCAGAGAGATGGCACAAGTGTTTGGTGTTAGAGAATCAATGATTCATTCAATTCAAGACAATGAGACAAAGATAAAGGCTTGTGCAATGAGTAATACTCAGTATGACACAGTTAAAAGAATGAGGAATAGGTCATTACAGCTAAATGAACTATTAATACTAAATGTATAGATTGAAAAATAAAGAAAGAAAGGTGTTCCACTTGATGGCCTTATTACTAGGGAAAAAAGCATTGTCATACTATACAGCAGTGTGTAAGGAGGAAGGAAAGCCTGAATATGAATGCAGTTTTAGTTTTGGATGGTTTCCCTAGTTTATAATGAACAGTGGGCTGCATAATATAAAGTTCAGTGAACCAGCATGTTGCAGGAAAGTTCCTGCCGAGCAAACAAAAATTATTTCTGAGGGTGGCTGCAAACCTGGGCAGGTATTTGATGGTGATGAGACAGGTCTGTTCTAGAAGATGTAATCTAGGACATACATCAGGAAACAAAAGAATGCTGTTCCTGGATTCAAGGCTGAAAAAAAAGACTGTTTCAGGTTGTTTCTTTGCAGTAATACTAATTTATTGTTCCAAGAATCTCCGTGCTTTATAAGGTAAAGACAAATGCATATTGCCTGTTATCTGGAAAGCCAGCCCCCAGCATGCATGACTGAAGCCATATTTACTTAGTGGTTCAAACATCATTTTTACTCTTGAAGTGAGGATGTGCTTTTTCCTGAATAATATTGCATTCAGGGTTCTCTTCATCCTAGATAATTGTCCGAGTCATCCACAACTCCTGGAGGATGTCGAGCCAGCTTTCAAGATTGTCTTTTTACCACCAAATACGACATCCTTGATACAACCACTGCATCAAGGAGTTAGTAAAACATTTTACTGCCACTACACATGCAGTGTGGTATAGAAACTATTGGCAGAAACTGACATGACAGACAGCAGAGTGCCCAAGTTTTGGTGCAAATTTAACGTTACAGATAAATTCCCCTGTCAAAATAACCATGAGATCATGTACCAAAATAAAAAAATAAATGCTGGTTGAAGAAAAATATTGCTAGTGTGCTGAATGACTTTACACATTTTCCATCATTAGAAAGTCAGGTTCAGGAAATTGTGGATTTGGCAAGGTGACTGCAAGGTGAGAAATTTAATGACATGTATCCAGAAGATGTCAATGAACTGGAGGAGGAGGAGGAGGAGGACGAGGAGGAGGACGAGGAGGAGGACGAGGACGAGGAGGAGGACGAGGACGAGGACGAGGACGAGGACGAGGACGAGGACGAGGACGAGGACGAGGACGATGACGATGACGATGACGATGACGATGACGATGACGATGACGATGACGATGACGATGACGATGACGATGACGATGATGATGATGATGATGATGAAATCAACTTCAGAGGAAATGTTGCAGAAATAAATTCCCAGATGCAGAGAACAGAAGACCATGAAGAATCAGAGCCTGGATGATTGCTGCTGACACTGCGAGAGATACGAGAGTTGCTGTATACTGTTGGTAAAATTGGAGACCTGTTTATTTAAAAGGACTATGACTCCTCTAGAAGCACTGATGTAAAGCATGCTCTGAGCAGGCACCTGGGCCTTACTATTTGTTATATAAAGAGCTGCAGGGTAAGCAAATGAGTAGTGTATGACAGAATACCTGAGCCCTCCAGAGCAACTATCAAATGATGAAGCTGCATCAACATCCCAAGTTCCCCAACCTTCAACATCACATCACCAATTCCAACCATCAACCTGTGGCCCAGTAGGGCCACAACCACTCTCTCCACTCACTTCAAGATATTAAGCATCACCGACCCAACTTGAAGGTAACAAATACTCAACAGTATTAATGTAACCATTTTTTAGCTGCATATGCTCTTCCTTTTCACTGTCTGAATCTCACTAGACTTCAGATATTTTATAGAAGCTCCTCAATGAGAAAATTAGGTAGAAAAAGTATTGTTTAATATTGCAATGTTTCACCTATTAGTGGGCTTTATCAAATACTATGTATGATATTATTATTATTATAAAGCCCATTCATGGGTGAAACACTACTAGTAAATGAAGAGTTTCAGTTATTGCCCCTTACCATCAACATCAACTAATTTTTTTTTTTCAGATTTATGCTATACAGTAGCTTTATTTGCATGATATGGAATTTTTTAATATAATGTACTAGCTATATATTAAGGTATCAAAATGATTAGATTGTTAGAAAAGAAAGAACAATTCTTAAGCAGTGAGATAATTCTGGAGGAATAATTTATACTTAAAGTATAAAACAGGTAAAATCATGCTGTAAATGTTTTTTAGTTACTTGTGATAATAAGTCAATAGACCTTAAACCTAAGAAGAACATAAATCTTGTGCAGGAATTAGGTCCCTCCTACACACTTCCTTGAGTTAAAAGCCCTTTACCAGCATTAAGGAATTTCCCCTTGAAGGGAGAAATAAAGAGTAAAAAGAGAGGTAGATAATATAGAGAAATATGGAAAATGAACTGCCCATTGTAATTAATTTACAACATTAGCCACAATTCCCATTACCAGTCACCCACTCCCCCATTAATGTTATATGGAGGGTTTACTAATTTATTATTATTATATTATTATGTGCAAGTGCTAATCCTGAAAGGCTCTGCATAACCAGGGGCTTTCTATTAAGTACATCAGTAATATCACCTTTTCTGTACCAATTGTAGATTATTCTCTGTATTATTATCATAATCATGGGGGACCGCTAAACCCGTAGGAATATACAGCGCACGTGGGGGAAGGGATGGAAGATATTCAGGCTTAATTCAGGGAACTGGAGCACAGATCCAATTCCCTAGATCGAGCCCCTCACCAGCATCAAGAAACCTTCCTTGAGAAAATCCTTTATAGTAATAAGGATGATTTTATTTGTAGAAATGTCACAGTGAGAGGCAGTCGCATTTAATCCAAGGAAGTGGAGTATAGCATTAATTCCCTGGATCAAGAACTCTTTATCATTGATTATTATTCATGGGAAGCACTAAACCCACAGGGGCCATACACCACCTGGGAAGGCTCCAAGGAAACGGAAGACAAGTCCAACTCCTTGGATCAAGAGCTACCTCAGTTGTTAGTAGATATAAAGTATTCGTATATACTATCTTGGCAAGCTGTCAACTCACCATTTTATAAAACAAATATTTTTAGACGAAATATACAAATAGACGAGGCAAAATGACATTGAATTAGTGGTGGTTAACTGGTTAAGAACTGCAAGAACTTCATCGATCTATGGAGACGCCACTCAGCCTAGACTTGCATATTTAATTCCAGTTCGCAATCCCTAGACACAAAATAACTTTCAATTAATAAGCTCATTAGCAATGATCTCTATACTGAAATTTATAAACACAATAAAAATTAATGAATTTTATTAAAAAACATATAATAAGGGTAAAAATATTTTTAATTTAAAGTGATATACTACATTCCATAATGCGGAGATAAAAAAAAAATTTTGTTTGTTATTGTTTAGCAGCTACGATGGATTGTTTTCATCTGTTCCAAGGGATGACTATCGTTTTGTGTCACAATTATCATGCATAAATTATTATGGAGAATAACAGGGCACAGCATTCCTACTTATGTTACGTCAACATAATTGTCTCTTGCTCTAACCTTGTAAAATATCATATTCATCACGCATTGTGGTGCTTTTCATTATTATTATTATTATTATTATTATTATTATTATTATTATTATTATTATTATTATTATTGTGTTAGGTAAATTCTACATGAGTATTGTGTATATCCATTGTGAAAAGTTTAATTTACATATTTTTTTCACCATACCGGCCATGTCCCACCGAGGCAGGGTAACCTAAAAAGAAAAACGAAAGTTTCTCTTTTTAAATTTAGTAATGTATACACAGGAGAAGGGGTTACTAGCCCCTTGCTCCCGGTATTTTAGTAGCCTCTTACGACACACATGGCTTACGGAGGAAGAATTTATATATGAGTTCTAAAAAATACAACACACTGAATCAGGAATTTCTATATGGGTCTTAGTGGTGTGCTCGCCTAATTGTAGTTGCAGGGGTCAAGTCACAGCTCATGGTGTGTTGATGTCTCTCTCTCTCTTTTCATTTCTTAAGCATTTATGTCGGTCTAAACATTTATAAATGTTTTTACAAGTACTAGAAGTAAAAAAAAAAAAATTGTACAATGGTTTTGAGGGTACGAAGATATTGTAGGAGTGCATATATAGAATATAATGTATATTATGGTTATGTAGATTTTATACCTAACTCAGTGTAAGTGTAAGGCAGGAAAGTCGATACGTACTCCTACATCCTAGACGGGAGTATAGTGTCTTAGTTTTAACCTTGGGTAACGTTATACAGTCAGACTGATTTTTTCCGCTACTTTCTCTCTCTCTCTCTCTCTCTCTCTTCTCTCAGTGACTGTAGGTTATTATTATTATTATTATTAAAGATTAGCCGGTATTTTCCCGGCCCGGGCCTTTTCCAAGTGGTGGCCCGGCCTTGGCTCCCTCTTTAGGGAGTGTCTGAGACCTAAGTCTACCATGGGAGGAGGCAAAAGTACCTCCTCATCTTTGGGACCAACTGTCCCCAGGCCTAGCCACAAACTAGGCCTCTCTGGTCTGCCATCCCCTCCCCAAGGGGGTAAATGGGAATGACAGTCTTATGAGCTAAAGGCTCGGGCTCAGGCACCTACCCTACCCTAGAAGGGTTAGGCATGGTGTCGATCGTGACTGTAGGTGTCTGACTGACGGGGTTATGGTAGGCTGGACACGTATCTACCAGTGCCCCATTGGTCTATCTTATTTAGCCTCCAACTATGCCTCTTTTTTTTGTCTCAGCTCCTCACATGTCTCAATTCACCCTGTTAATTCTTGTTATCTTAAAACATCCTAATCATGTTTCTTCTAGCTCTTCGTTCCTTTAACTACTTTCAGTTTGTTTGTTCCTCACCACAGCATAAACAAGAACATATACCTTACTTCCAATACCAGCTTTGATGTGAACATCTGAAGATATTTTAACACAAGAGGACCAAGCAGTGTGGCTCGTTTAAATTAAAGTTTATTTTAGGCCCTCTTCACCCACCATGAAAAGCAGGAGCGTCATGAGTACACTAAGAGACAACACAGTAAGTATCAGGGGCCCAAGATTGTTCAGCTGCCTTCCAGCATACTACATAAGGGAGATTACCAATAGACCCCTGGTTGTCTTCAAGAGGGAGCTGGACAAAGTCATTACCTGACCAGCCTGGCTGTGGTTCGAATGTCGGTTTACGTGGGGCCAACAGTAATAGCCTGGTTGATCAGGCCCTGATCCACTGCGAGGCCTGGTCATGGACTGGGCCGCGGGGGCGTTGACCCCCGAAACACCAGGTAAAATGCCAAGCACAACAGTCGCTATTCCTAATTAGCTATATGGCCCTTTTTTGCCTATCGCTTATTTTAATTATATTATTATTATTATTATTATTATTATTATTATTATTATTATTATTATTATTATTATTATTATTTCCTAGGTAACCATTTACTTCTGAGTGACAGGGGCAGTATGTGTATGCCTGTAAATCACACCTCGCCCAGGGTTCGACCCAGATACTTTCATTTGTAAGCTGAGCACGTTACTACTGCGCTGCTGAGCACGCTACTACTGCGCTGCTGAGCACGTTACTACTGCGCTGCTGAGCACGCTACTACTGCGCTGCTGAGCACGCTACTACTGCGCTGCTGAGCACGCTACTACTGCGCTGCTGAGCACGCTACTACTGCGCTGCTGAGCACGCTACTACTGTGCTGCTGAGCACGCTACTACTGCGCTGCTGAGCACGCTACTACTGCGCTGCTGAGCACGCTACTACTGCGCTGCTGAGCACGCTACTACTGCGCTGCTGAGCACGCTACTACTGCGCTGCGAGGCACCTTAGTTGAGACCTTCAACGATGGTACCTTCTTTTCGTCACGTGAGATGTCTTGACGCCGGTGAAGAGCTCTTTATTCAATGAATTACAGCTACTCTCCGTTTCCTTGCATAGTATCTGATTGTCTCATATCCTCCGAGGCATTCTACGACCCCTACGGGTTCAGCGCTCCCCGCATAAAATAAACACATAAATAGCAATTTGTGCTTGATTAGCTGTGGGATCCGTGCTGGCGCTGCATACTTCATTACTGACCTGACACACAGCATGTACTGTGTCGAAAACACTCGTGTAACTAGATGTGTTCCGTAGCTCGACTGTTAGCCCACTCATATTACACATTGAGGTCCAGGGTTCGATCCCCGTTACGGGTGAAAACATTAGGATGTTGTGATGTAGTCCAGCTGGGCTTGTGAGGTCTCTGGGGAGACCTAATTTAACCAATTATATGGTCACACCTTGCCTTGGCAAACGTCTGTAGCCACGCCCACGTCTGAGGTCTTTTGTTCTTGACGCCTCAGACCTAGGCGTCAGGTCGTACACGTGGTTGTGGAGGGTGCTTGGACCACCATAAAAGCCCAAGGAAGAGCATGATCATGAGATTGGAGCGGAGCTGCTGCTGGGGCGCAGAGCTCCTGAGCAGAAGATTCGGGCAGAGCTCTGGCCTGGGTGCAGAGCTCTGAGCAGAGACATTTCGAGAGGAGCTGCTGCTGGGGTGCAGGGCTCGGGAGAAGGCTGCTGAAGTCTCTGGAGGAGACTGTTGGAGGCATTGGGCAGAGTACTGGCTTGGCGCAGTACTCGTGCTGTGTAGGTCTTGGGACCTGTGGCTTAGTTCCTGTAGTGAACTGTCCTCTGTGCTATATTGTAAGTTACATTCATTTTAGTCAAGTTGATTGTGTTCCCTGTCTCACTGCTTATGTGTACCATCCCATTTATCTAAACCACAATAATGTTCTGTTCCCAAATATATTATGGTACAAAGACGTAATAATAAACTGTGTTTGAGTAGAATAGTAATATTCACTGTCCCTGTCTTTTTTTCTTATATTTTATTATGTTTATATATGAGTGAAGAATGGACGAGGCATATGTTAGTGAGTAGTGTAGAGTTAATGAGAGTGTCGTGGTGGTCACCACTGACCTGTCATTACTTACCTACCTCCGCTAATCATCTCACTCCTACCACCTCGCCTGCCTCTCCCCTCCCTACATAATCCCTTACTCCCATATTCCCCTTATATCCTATTCAATCATTACCCCCCTACATGACAATGTGTTTCCTTAAGGCACCTGCTGTCCATGTAATATAGGTACCCGAGTGTTAGTCGACTTGTGTAGGTTGTATCCTGGGGGGCAAAAATTGACCTAATTTGCCCGAAATCTTCTGCATAGACCTTCGTACGTGCACTTGTGGAAATAGAGATTATTATTATAGGTTTGCAAGGCTCTGGAGTAGAGCTGATACTGTACACTTGGAGTCTTCCAAGGCTCTGAAGTAGAGCTGATACTGTACACTTGGAGTCTTCCAAGGCTCTGGAGTAGTGCTGATATTGTACACTTGGAGTCCTCCTCCTGCAAGAGGTTTAGTGGAATGTGCAGCCACAGATTCTTTTCCATATTACCTTCGATATTTGTAGTTACTTTCCCTTCAGTCCGTTCTCTGTCTCAGGTTCATTCTTCTCTTAACCCATTTGTAAGATTCTGCATGTTGGGGTTGGAATGCCAGTGGCCACCGCTCAGTTCCCTCCTATAGGCTGCAAAAGACGTTTTGCATCTTGTTTCCTGTCCTTCTTTCTTTGTTTTCTTCTTAAAATCTTCGCATCATCTGTAAACAACGACACAAAGATGTCAATCCTCTTTTACCAATGCCAGAAGTAAAAAGAAATCCTCATACTGATACATGAGGGACCCCACTCGTCTCCCTTGCCCATTCTGATACTAAACCAAATAAATACTTCCTCTTCTGCTTCCTCTTTCCTGTCTCCCTCGTTTTCCCTATCTACTTCCTCCTCCTCCTCCTCTTCCTCTTCATCTCCTCCTCCTCCTCCTCCTTTCTTCTTCTTCTTCTTCTTCTTCTTCTTCTTCTCCTCCCTGTTCTCTTTTTAGAAGTGTTGCTCTCTTCTAATCTTCAATCGGTGGTTCCTAGCTCTCCTGCTAGGAGAGCTGTTTACGTACGTTTGAACGTGTGTGTTCGCATGCATTGTCTACGTATCTGTGTGCACGCAATACATCATTCCTAACTAGCAGAAGAAAACTAACTCACTATTTTTATATTGATTATTGAGTTGAAAATTTTATAGAATGGCTGAAGGTTTAGTTTCTACGAAATAATCCAGATAATCGAGAAATTT